ACAACAGCATCGAATTTAGGCCAATGAATAACACTGCAATGGCCTCACAGTGTTCCTGTGAAAGGAAGAGTCACATGTATCTCACTTTAAATCAAGAGCTGCAAATGATTAAGCTTAGTGAGAAAGGCATGTTAGAAGCCAAGACAGACCAAAAGTTGTGTCTCTTATGCCAGTTATCTAAGTTGTGAATGCAAAGAAAAAGTTCTTGAAGGAAATGAAAAAGGTATTCCAGTGAACACATAAATGATAAGGAAGAGAAACAACCTTGTTAACCGACATGGAGAAAGTTTTAGTGATCTAGATAGAAGTTCAAATCAGGCTCATGCCTGTAATCCCAGCACTTTGGGAGGCTGAGGTGGGCAAATCACCTAAGATCAGGAGCTCAAGAACAGCCTAGCCAACATGGTGAAACCCTGTTTCTACTAAAAGTACAAAAATTAGCCAGGCATGGTGGCAGGTACCTGTAATCCTAGCTACTTGGGAGACTGAGGCAGGAGAATTGCTTGAATCCGGGAGACGGAGGTTGCAGTGAACTGAGATTATGCCACTGCACTCTAGCCTGGGTGACAGAGCAAGACTCCATCTCGAGAGATAAAAAAAAAAAAAAAAAAGTTCAAATCAGCCACAGCACTGAGCCTGATCCAGAGCAAGCTATAGAAGAAAAGGTAAAAACTAGCAGAGGCTGGTTCATGGGGTTAAGGAAATAAGCTGTCTTCATAACATAAAAATGGAAGACAAAGGCCGGGCGTGGTAGGTCACACCTGTAACCCCAGCACTTTGGGAGGCGAAGGCGGGTGGATCACTTGAGGTTGGGGGTTTGAGACCAGCCTGATCAACATGGAGAAACTCGGTCTCTACTAAAAATACAAAATTAGGCAGGCGTGGTGGCACATGCCTATAATCCCAGTTACCCGGGAGGATGAGGCAGGAGAATTGCTTGAACCTGGGAGGCAGAGGTTGTGGTAAGCTGAGATCATGCCATTGCACTGCAGCCTGGGCAACAAGAGCAAAACTCCATCTCAAAAAAAAAAAAAGGCAAGATAAAGCAGCAAATCCTGATGTAGAAGCTTCATCAAGTTAGCCAGAAGACCTAGCTAAGGCCAAAACAACCGTTTTTCTCTTTTTTCTTTTTTTGGAGACTGAGTCTTGCTCTGCCACCCAGGTTGGGGTGCAGTGGTGTGATCCTGGCTCACTGCAACTTCTGCCTTCCAGGTTCAAGCTATTCTCATGCCTCAGCCTCCTGAGTAGCTGGGATTATAGGTACCCACCACCACACCCGGCTAATTTTTGTATTCTTAGTAGAGATGGGTTTTACCATGTTGGCTAAGCTGGTCTTGAACTCCTGACCTCAAGTGATCTGCCCGCCTCGGCCTCCCAAACTGTTGGGATTCTAGGTGTGAGCCACAGCGCTGGGCCTAAAACAACAGGTTTTCAAAGTATATAAAATAGCCTTCTATTGGAAGATGCCATCTGGGACTTTCATAGCTAGAAAGGAGAAGCCAATGCCCAGCTTCAAAGGCAGGATCATTCTCTTGTGATGAGCTAAAGCAGCTGGTGACTTTAATGTCAGTGTGAACTGACCATTCCGAAAATCCCATGGTTTAAGGATTATGCTTAATTGGCTGGCATAGTGGCTCACATCTGTAATCCTCGCACTTTGGGAGGCTGAGGCAGGTAGAACACTTAAGCCCAGGAATTCAAGACCAGCCTGGGCAACAACGAGACTCCCATCTCCATAAAAGCACAAAAAAAATACTTAGCCAGGTGTGTTGACATTCATCTGTGGTTCCAGCTGCCAAGGAGGTTGAGGTGGAAAGAATCACATGAGCCTGGAAAGCAGAGGCTACAGTGAGCCCAGATCGTGCCACTGCACTTTAGCTAGGGCAACAGAGAGACCCTGTCTCAAAAAAAAAAAAGAATTATGCCTAATCTACTTTGCCTGTGTTCTATAAAAAAAACAAATGAAGCCTGGATGACAGCATATCTTTTTTTACAACAGGGTTTACTGAATATTTTAAGTCCACTGTTAAGACCTATTGCTCAGAAAAAAAAAAAAAAAAGATTCTTTTCAAAACATTACTGCTCACTGACAATGTGCCTAATCACCCAAGAGTTCTGATGGAGATGTACGAAGAGATAAATGTTGTTTTCATGCCTGTTAACACAATATCCATTCTGCAGATTAAGGAGTCATATTGACTTTCAAGTAATCTTATTTTAAAAATACATTTTGTAAGGCTACAGCTGCCACAGACAGTGACTCCTTTGATGGATCTGGGCAAAGTAACTGAAAACCTTCTGGAAAGGATTTATCATTCTAGATGGTTTCTTGAGATGCAATCTACTCCTGGTGAGGATGCTGTGAACATTGTTGAAATCATAGCAAAGGACTCACAGTATTCCATGAATTTAGTTGATAAAGAGGTAGCAGGTTTGAGAGAATTAACCCAGTTTTGAAAGTTCTACTGTAAGTAAAATGCTATAAAAAAATATTGCATGTTACAGAGTAATCTTTCATGAAAGGAAGTCAATGGACACGGCAAACTTCATTGCTGTCTCATTTTAAGAAATTGCCACAGCCACCCCAAACCTTTAGCAACCACAACCATGATTAAGCAGCCATCAACACTGGAGACAAGACCAACTACCAGCAAAAAGATTATGACTCGCTGAAGTCTCAGATGACGGTTAGCATTTTTTAGCAGTAAAGAATTTTTAAATTAAGGTACATACATCGCTTTTTTAGCCATAATGCTATTTCACATTTAGCAGACTATAGTATAGTATAAAGATAACTTTGTTATGCACTGGGAAACAAAAATATTCCTGACTTGCTTTATTGCATGGTCTGGAACCAAACCCACAATATTCCTAGGTATGCCTGTAAAGCAGCCCAGCCATGCTGACTAATTCAAGCTGAAGCAAAAGTTTTTGTTTTTGTTAGAGAAAAGGTCTCATTATGTTGATCAGGCTGTCCTTGAACTACTGGGCTAAAGTGATCCTCTTGCCTCAGTCTCCCAGGAAGCTGGGACTACAATTACATGCCACCACATCTGGCCCAGTTCCCTAAACATTTTAATGTAAGTATAACACCATTACTTAAAGAGCATAGATTACTGACAGTAAAATATATTATGAAGCTTAAGATACTGAAAAGTTCTATGAAGTCTATGACTTTCTAAATGTATGACAGTACTTTGAAATAAAAACTTTACAAATGTAAGTATATTACTTTTTTTTTTTTTAAGACAGAGTCTAGCTCTGTTGCCCAGGCTGGAGTGCAGTGGAGCAATTTCAGCTCACTGCAACCTCTGCCTCCTGGGTTCAAGTGATTTTTGTGCCTCAGCCTCCCAAATAGCAGGGACTACAGGAGCATGCCATCATACCCAGCTATATATATTTTTAGTCAAGATGAGGTTTTTCCATATTGGCCAGGCTGGTCTCAAACTTCTGACCTCAGGTGATCTGCCTGCCTTGGCCTCTCAAAGTACTGGGACTACAAGTGGGAGCCACTGTGCCCGGCCAAAGTGTAAGACATTACCTTTTTTTTTTTTGAGTCAGTGTTCTGATCTGTTACCTAAGCTGCAGTGTGGTGGTATAATAACTCACTGCACCCTCAAACTCCTAGGCTCAAGCAATTCTCTTCTCTCAGCCTCCTGATTAGCTAGTAGCTAGGACTACAGATGTGCACTATCACGCCTGGCTAATTTTAAAATTTTTTGTAGAGATGGGGTCTTACCATGTGGTCCAGGTTATTCTTTTTATAGATGCATATATATATATATATATATATATATACACACACACATAATTTTTTATAAATAGAGACGAGGTCTCACTATATTAACCAGGCTGGTCTTGAACTCCTGACTTCAAGTCATCCTCCTATCTTGGCCTCCCAAAGTGCTGAGATTATAAGCATGATCTCGTGTGCCTAGCCCCCGGGCTGTTTTTGAACTCCTGACCTAAAACTGTCCTCTCTCCTTGGCCTTAAAAAGTGCTGAGATTACAGCTGTGAGCCACCACGCCTGGCCTATTATTACCATTTTTGTAGGTTAATAGTTTCTTTGAATTCATACTCAAATTCAGGTAATTCATATAATAGTTTTAAAATGAAGTGATACACACTTATATCTTACTGGCTAAGAAATCCTTTAATTCAGCTCTAAAATGTAAAAGAAGAGGCATTAAAAAATCCTCTTTAACTTGTAGCAGACTCATATATAATAAATTTTATGAAATTGAGATTTTGGGGTGAACAGAGGCATGTGTGATAAATTACTTAAGGGCTAATCCAATTTCATTTGACTACTGTGAAAAAACCTGCTCTAGATCAGTAGCTCTCAAACTTTAGCAGACTTGTGCATGGCTTAATAGGATTATGTTCTAAAGAATGTGTTGTTAGGCAATTTCATTGTTGTGTGAACATCACAGAGTGTACTTACCCAAACCTAGATGGTACAGACTACCACACACATAGGCTATATGGCATAGCCTATTGTTCATAGGCTACAAACCTGTAGAGCAAGTTACTGTACTGAACGCTATAGGTAATTATAACATAATGGTAAGCATTTGTGTATCAAAACATAGAAAAAATACAGTAAAAATATGATATATTATAATGTTATGGGACCACTGTTGTATATGGGGTCTGTTGTTGACCAAAATGCCATTATGTGGCACACAGCTGTACTAACATAAAGACTGTAAAAATATAGATTTAAAAATACAGATTTTTGGGTAATACTCCCAGATTTCTGGTTCAGTAGGTCTGGGATGGGTCTTAATAATCTGCATTTCTAAGAAGTTCCAGTTTGAGAACCACTGCTCTAAACCAGTAACATCACTGGTTGGAATAATGGCAATTCTTTCCTGTAGCAGGTTTAAGACATATCACATAATAACTTTTAAATTGTTTTAAAACTCACGTATATGTGGAAATTTTAAGATAAAAATTATCATTTGAGCTGGACACAATATTGATCAAGAGATATTACCTGAGGTCAACTCTTCTCTGCTATCCTTAGCAAGCATAACAGCGTATTCTGAAACTTCAGCTGCTTCTCTTTGTACGAGCTGACGTAAGCAAGCCAGTACTGCTCTTCTCAGTAACAAGTAGGGGCTACAAAGATTCACCTGAAAAAATAACATTTGAGGAATGACAGAGCTAAAATTCTTGTTGGCACTCAGTAAGTGTAACAGACATTCATTGGACCCATTCCTGATTCTGTCCAGCCCATCAGTAGGCTGGACACAATTTATGCATACATAGGAACTTCTTGCAACTATGCTAGAATACATTCTGATTATATAACTTAGAAACAGCTTAATAGGTAATATGTGTACTAGATTATGCATTACTCATAAATATAAGCAAAGATCAGTGTCAAAAGGTAGAATTTATATGAGTAAAAAGAACTACAACAGAAAGGATTTAGTTGCATTTCATACATTTGTGTTCATGCAACTATACTGTAATGTTTTATCATTCTCTAAGCAGAAATTTATACAAATCCATATAGGCAATACAGCATATTGTTTAAAATGGACATTCCAGAGTCAAAATGTCTCAGTTTGAGTCTTAGATCCACCACTTACTAGCTGTGTGACTGTGGGCAAATTATTTAACCTCTTTATAGTGCCTTAGTTTCCTCCTTTGTAACACTACCGTATCTCTCAGGGTATTATGATATTAACACAAAATAAATGCAAAGTGCTTACCACAGTACCTGTCAAATAGTAAATGCTCAATAAATGTTAGTTATTATTAGTGCAGTCTCTTAACAATAATATTTTAATCAGATAACATACAGAGTAAGTAGATGCATTTTCAAATAAAGGCAGAAAACATTCACCAAAAATGCTCTCTAGAGACAAGTGTTACAGAACACCAACTTTTATATATATGCATACATATTTATGTATTAATAGAATACATATATGTACACATCTTAAGATGCAATGTAAATCTCAATAGGCTGCATCTACCCATGGCAAATGATAAGACTGGTAATAATACTTCAGTTACAAGCTGAAGGTTAATGGACAAAAATTTTTAGTGATTTCATTTATGAAATAAAGATTAGATTTTAAATTAATTTTGTACTAACCATGAAAGTAAAGATCAGTTTGGTACAGTCTACAAAATAAATATGTATATTTTGATAGTGATCTTCAAAGCAAAATTTGAGAAATAATGGCATAATTCTATAGTGATGATTAGATTTGGCATATGTAAGAAAAATAGGACTGAAGTTTTGTAAAGAGCAGAGGCTAAATTTTGGGATGAAATAAAAGGTGGTAAAAACTATTAAGAATATGTAAGAAGAGTGTTGGGCATGGTGGCTCACATCTGTAATCCTAGCACTTTGGGAGGCTGAGGTGAACGGATCACTTGAGGTCAGGAGTTTGAAACCAGCCTGGCCAACATGATGAAACCCCGTCTCTACTAAAAATATAAAAAAAATTAGCCAGGCATGGTGGCAGGTGCCTGTAATCATAGCCACTTGGGAGGCTGAAGCAGGAAAATTGCTTGAACCTGGCAGGCGGAGGTTGCAGTAAGCCAAGATTGCACCACTGCACTCCAGACTGGGCAACAGAGTGAAATACCGTCTCAAAAAAAAAATATATATATATATATATAATTTTTTATATACATATACGAAGAGGGCCGGGCGTGATGGCTCACACCTGAGGGAGGCCAAGGCAGGTGGATCACTTGAGGTCAGGAGTTAAAGCGTTGGGTGCAATGGCTCACGCTGAAGGAGACCGAGATGGGTGGATCGCTTGAGGTCAGGAGTTCAAGACCAGCCTGGCCAACATGGTCAAACCCTGTCTCTACTAATAATACAAAAATTAGCTGAGTGTGGTGGTACATGCCTGTAATCCCAGCTACTGGGAGCCTGAGGCGGGAGAACTGCTTAAACCTGGGAGGTGGAAGTTGCAGTGAGCCAAGATCATGCCACTGCAATTTAGCCTGGGCAACAGAGTGAAACTGTGTCTCAAAAAAAAAAAAAAAAGGATATATAAGAAGAAACACATGCAAAGACAAATTCTACATTTTATCAGAAGCCAAAAATGCCAGAAAAAAACTGTGAATATATCATCATTGAACAGCTTTTTTTTTTGAGACAGGATATCACTCTATCACCCAGGCTAGAGTGCAGGAACAGTATTGTAAATATGTTCTATTATACCTTCAAGCTGTATTATGAACCCAAAAGTGGATACAGAGAAATGCCATTCATAGAAAAGTCTCAAGGTATAATGTATTCCCATGTTTAGAAATCATACTGTTAGCAGGTTAGGATAACAAGGAAGTTAAAATATAAAAAGATTAAGTTTATTTGTGCCCAAGATTACTGTTGTATTTAAGAACAATGACAAAAAAAGCACTCTACAAGACAATTCTAAAGAAAATAAATCTACTAGTTATTTCAACCAGAGTTTCACAAGCATATGATACAAAGCAGGTGCAGCATTTATTCAGGCTAGTCAAACGTGTTTTAGAAAAAGCATGCTTAGAAGTACCCTTTACTTGTTTGGTAGAAAAAAGATTGAAGGCTTTCACACAAAGCAAAATGGGAGGCTTAAGGTCTCCATGTCATTCTCCAGCATTTGTATTGGGAAAAGGAATAGAGTGGCTTAAGACAAACAAAGCAAGCAGGCAAAATACAGAAACCAAGTAAAACTGTAACTACAATCATTTTCTGAAATCAATATATTAAATCAAAATGATACCAAATTTAGTACAAAGAAAGAGCACCAGCTGGAGAAGGTTAGGAAGGATTTGCTTATACTGGTATCAAATAAACATCAAGAAACATGCTACACATATTGGACTTAGCATTAATGGTTCGCTTAAACAAAGAGATGCAGAAGAGAACAAACATCTACAACCAAAAAAAATGACACAAAAAAATAGCACCGCAAAACTCAAAAGACGTTAGGAATCAAGGGTCAGGGACCTACCAACACAGAATTATCCAACAAGATCTCCTGCACAAAAACAAATGACACACCAGTCATGACAAAACCAAAAGATATAGGATGACTTTGACAACAGTCAGCTAAGCATTAAAATATAAATGTTGATAGTTATCATTCAAATTTGCTTAGCTTCAGCTTAAAAATTTGCCACAAATATTTTATTTTCCAACTTAACAAAATGAGTTAAGCCAAGTTCTTGAAAATAGTCAACTCAAGAACTCCAAGATGTAAATATATAATTTAAAAATGTACATGTGATTAATTTTAGGTTTTCCTTTGGAATCTATGACTAAGCCTCAGTAACAAACCAAATCAAGTAGACATGAGTATGAGAGGAGTGATCTGGATTACATTCACACGAACAGGTGTCCAACAAGAGGCAAAGTTAATGATTTACCTCATCAGAAGGTAATTATAGTTTAACTCTTAGAAGCCAAGTTTTAAAACTAAGAGTATTCAGAATTGCAAGTGTAGCTAAGGCCAAGTTCAGAATGAAAGTCGAAGAACATGCAGTTAGAAGAAAATACTTTCCAGTAAGACTTTTGCCTAATGATGAAATGCAATTTCCTTACTTTGGCGAATACTCTAAAATATAATAAATTCAACCTAATAAATTCAGAATAAATTACTAATTACTATCACTATATCAATTTAGTGTCTCAATATTTTGGTTAGTAATTTATTCTATGTGATTGTGTATTAACAAATCATTTTATACCTTGAATATTATGAGTTAACATGAGTAAGATTTGTAACTGTTACTTCAGATTTTCTCACTTGCTCTGGATGTACCCAAAAGAAAAGTCTGATAATATAATAATCTCTATTCTTTTACATATATAACTTTTTTGATGCCTATTTGTTTTTCCTGAAATAATATGTACCCTTTTATGATTTGGGAAAGAAAAAAAGTTAATGAGTTTGATCAAATTTTATTTACTTATATTTTTGAGACAGCTCCATTGCCCAGGCTGGAGTATAGTGGTGCAATCATGGCTCACTGTTGCCTCAACCTCCTGGGTTCAAGTGATCCTCCCACCTCAGCCTCCCAAGTAGCTGGGACTACATGGTGAGCACCACCATGCCTGGATAATTTTATTTAAATTTTTTGTAGAGACAAGCTCTCACTATGTTCCTCAGGCTGGTATCAAACATCTGGGCTCAAATGATCCTTCCACTTTGGCCTCCTAAACTGCTGGAATTAAGATGTGAGCCACTGTGCCCAGCTGATCAGATCTTAATTATCATGAATTAATGGGTTAGTCTTGCTCTTCATTTATCATTAAACTTTAGTTAATAAAAGAATTCGTGTATCAGGTAAAGAAGAAAATTTAAAGGTAATTAATGGAAACCTGCTATAAGACAAGAGGAAAAAAATAGCAGTATCACTAAATTTTAATGGAGAGTAAAAGATCAACATGCAAAGGAGTGAAAACTATTTCAGTAACTGGTTTTAGTAATGGTTATTCAAATATAAAAAGTAATATTCCTGCAGAAGAGTCCCTGAATGGTATAGGTAAAATCCTTTTCCTGTAAGTGCTGTTTTCCCTAATACATGATTGACCAAGATCTAAAAAATACAGGAACAAAAGTTCTGTCGGGAAGTCAGTCACATTCTCTTTTTAAAGTTTTATTGGGCTAGGCATGGTGGCTCATGCCTGTAATCCCGGCACTTTGTAGGGCTGAGGCAGGAGGATGGCTTGAGGCCAGAAGTTCAAGACCAGCCTGGGTAACATACAAGACTCTGTCTCTACAAAAAAAGAAAAAAAAAAAATTGGCTAGGTGTGCTGGTACATTCCTAAAGTCCTAGCTCTTGGGAGGCTGAGGGGGCAGCTCACTTGAGCCCAGGAGTTTGAGGCTACTACAGGCTGTAACTGCACGACCACACTCCAGCCTGGGTGACAAAGTGAGACTGTGTCTCTAAAAAAAAAATAAAGTGTTATATGACTATCAGCATCAATAATTAATATAATGATTAATACACTGTGTGTTGAAGGCACATGTCAAGACAGCAAAAGCAACTACCATTATTGCGTACTAATTAAAAGCCTGTGACATGTGCCCTTAGAAGCAGCATTTTGCATAATCCTCATGTTTTACAGACAAGGTAGCTAAGGCTCGAAGAGATTATGGGACTTCCCTAAAGGCATATAGCTAGGAGATGGCAGAGTTGAGATAAAGTCTATCCATAAAATCTGTAAAGGTAGTATGGAATAATGAAATGAGGACTGGATGAGGAATCCAGAAACCTGCAATCTAGACTTAGCCACCACCTAGATGTGCTAGATGTGTTATTTTAATTTTTTGGTCTTCAGGTTATCTTTTATTGGGAAGACTGGTTTTAATAATGCAAACATCATTCTACAAAAGTAGGGATAATCTATGTGACATATTTTTAAGATTCTGAGGTTCTTTAAAGCTCTGAAATGCTGCATATTTTGCCTCAAGCTTGAAAATGAAACGTCTACATAATGATTCTTAACAGGTCATGTTACTAATGGGAGTGTGATATGAACACTGTAGGAGTAGAAAAAGTTGAAAAGCAATGGTGCCAACTTATAATTCCAAATGCAACTCAATTTTTAAGGCAAGTCCATAGAAACTAGTGACAGAATAAAATCTTTTTTTTTTGAGACGCAGTTCACTCTTGTTGCTCAGACTGGAGTGCAATGGTGCAATCTCGGCTCACTGCAACATCCACCTCCTGGGTTCAAGCAATTCTCCTACCTCAGTCTCCAGAGTAGCTGAAATTACAGGTGCCCACCACCACACCCAGCTAATTTTTATATTTTTAGTAGAGACGGGGTTTCACCATGTTGATCAGGCTGGTCTTAAGCTCCTGACCTCAGGTGATCCGCCCGCCTTGGCCTCCCAAAGTGCTGGGATTACAAACGTGAGCCACTGCACCCAGTCAGGGGAAATCTTAAAACCAATGACCATAAATCACTTCTAAGGAACCTCTGGTTGATGGCCTTTATCTTTCTACATTCAGTAGATACAATATTAGAAGCCAGATGTTGATGCATATGTTGCTGAAATATTAAGGAAAAGTGTTATTTCTCCATCACGGATGTAAAGAACTTTGTAATAACTTAGAATAGATGAAAAAGAAGAAAAAAAAAGACAGGTGACCACATAAAGTTTTGCATGTCCTACAGCATTTACATAGTATATGGGACCTTATAAGCACCAATATGTGTTTATTGATTTATGAATATTCCAAATATTAAGTTCAACATTAATGGGAGAAAAATGAATTAATGTAAGAGACTTAAGAGCTGATTACATGAAAGCTGCCCCCTACTCCCCAAAAAGACTTGAACTGAGGTGAAATAGCTATGTATATAACATATAACTCTGTACATAGTTTAGAGGATAATTAAAATGTGTACTGGAATAAATCTAAAATTCAAATAAAAGAAGCTAAGAACATGTTTACAATTTTATACTCACACAGAGGCAGCTAACCAGGCTAGACAAGTTGACATGTTGTGGAGCAAACATATGAAGCTGCTGAAGGCAAGAGATGGCCTGAGCTTGAACAAGGCAATCTGGGTTATCTTGCATTACTGCACAACCCAGTAGACAGGAAGTCCTTAAGGTAGAAATTGAAGTACTGTTACCTAAAATAAAAAGCAGAAAGCTTTTAATAATTGGCCTATAAAATCATTATTCTTTAAACATATATTACAGGTTTTAAAATTTACTTCCAGTTTTAAGTTTATGAATCTGTGACGTATAATCTCTTCTACAAAAGTAGGGATTATCTAAGTGACAGGTTTTTAGATTACTTTAGTTATTCTTTTTTTGAAACAGAGTCTCACTCTGTCACCCAGGCTGGAGTGCAGTGGCGCCATCTCGGCTCACAGAAACCTCTGCCTCCCAGGTTTAAATGATTCTCTTGCCTCAGCCTCCTGAGTGGCTGGGACTACAGATATACGCCACCATGCCTGGCTAATTTTTTGTATTTTTATTAGAGATGGGGTTTCACCATGTTGGCCAGGCTGGTCTCAAACTCTCGAGCTCCAGTGATTCCCCTGCCTTGGCTTCCCAAAGTGTTAGGACTATAGCTGTGAGTCACCACACCTGGCCTACTTTAGTTATTCTTAATTGGAAAAATTTATTACAACACAAATTATTAGGCAAAAAAGAACCTATGACTATCAGTAGGTCATACCAAATTTTCATAAAAAGTGGAATTAGAAATCGCCAATAAACTTAGCCTTGCATTAATTAAGAATTACTTTCATATGTTATAATCATGCAATACTGCTCAATCTGAACAGCTCAGAATATTTGAAATTTTGGATTACTTCTTAAATAGAGATCAGAGCTCTGTGGATGATTCTGCTTCATCTCTTGTCATGTTAATGTTAAGGAAGGCATCTTTAGGAGATATGTAATTGTCTAAATACTGCACTCTGTCTTTTCAAAGATAAGAGAAATCAGGCTGAATGGTATCTACACATTCATTTAACTAACCATACAGCACCTATCATATGCCAAGCATACAGACTAGGAACTGAATTCATTTTTATGTGTATTCTTTTTCATGTAAAACAGCATAAAAGCAGCTATGCACACCTTGTAGCTCTGGACCTAACGTGGTAATAAGGGCATTCAAACAGCGACCAAGGCTTTGGTGAACTTCAGCATGAGTAGGAGGCACATTTAACAACAACATTATAATAAGAGAAAGGGTAGGTTCCACATGCACATAATAGAGTGGGCCAGCAGAATCAATGATCAACGATAGAGAATGTAATGCCCAGGTCTGTAATGACAAAGAAAAACAATTAAAAACATTACAGCAGCATTAAGAAACATAAAATACATCAAATTGTTCTTTTGTTGAAGTAAGTGATAAAGTAACAGCAAATGTGTATACTACTAATGTGGAAAGAGAAATGGAGGACTTCCAACTCAGAGGCAATCATCCAACTTAGAATGATATAGTTAGATAACAGTTCGCCATTAAGAATTCCAAGTAATGGTCCTTTAGCTAACAGCTTGAATCGAATTTAGTTTGTTGAGAAATTGTTTCATCTATAGAAAGAATGAAAATTTGAGTCTTTAAAAAGATTCAACAAACCTACAATTACAAACATCAATATGGACAAATCACTTGAACATAAGTGAAGAAGGCCAGACAGAAAAGAATATATGTTGTATTATTCTATTTATATAAAGTATAGAAGCAGGCAAAACTAATTTAAGCTACTGCAAATTGGAGTGGTTATCCTTAGTGGGGGTAGGTAGTTAACTAGAAGACAATATGAGAAGTGTGTCTGGGGTATTGATAATAAACTGCTTCTTGATTTCAGGTGATGGTTAATGTACTGTTTGTATATAGGTATGTATATTTATGACAGATGCGCACGCGCACGTGCGCGCACTCTCTCTCTCTCTCTCTCTCTCTCTCTGGTTTATATGAAAAAAGATTGGCCATATACTGATAACCACTGCAGTTAGGTGATGAGTTTAACAGTTTTATTATAGTAGACTTTCTAACTTTGTGTATGTTTGAATGTTCCATAGTAAGTCGTAAATTAAAAGGTTTCCTTTCAGAAAATGAAAAAGTTTTATTCGTCTTATCAATGGATGTGCAAGAACACTTATAGTACTTTGAATGCTGCAAAAATGAGATTCTATTTGTTAAGTGAGAGGGAGCAATCAAGAAAACTCAGAATTGATGACACTGGAAGCCACGGAAAGAAGTATATGAATTAAATCAGCAAAAAAGGTATTAAATATAAAACTATGTGCATTCAGAACAGACTTCTTGAAGAGAGAGAAGAGGAATATAATAGAAGCAAAAAGTACCATATTTAAGGATGGGTGAAAAATGGAAATCTTGTATGTCAATTCAGTCAAGTACTAGAAGTGGAGGAGGTGAGCAGCAATATGGTAATTCAGAGAGAGAAAGCTAACTGGATTAAAGCTTGATGAGATGCTGGCTAAACCGGATCTTAAAAGACTAAAACGTGGAATATCAAACAGGCATGTAAGGAGAGAAGGAAAAAGAAAATAATGTAAATGTAGACATTAGAATGACATGCAGGTAGATCTTCTGTAGAAGTCAACAGTTTGAGGTAGTAACAGAAAACGTCTGTGGGTCAGTTGATGAGACTGATATAAAGAAGTTGATTAAAGAAGCAATAAGCACTTTGTCAAGCTTTTCTGCAGGAAGGTGGCAAGATGAAAATCTTGTAGGAAAATGAATTTAGCCTTATCTCTAGAGAGAATTAGAAAAGAACCTAAAAATGTGACTAATTAGGAAGCTATGACAGTAATGTGGCACACATTAATAAGGGAGACAGATACAATGACAGAAAGGGTGTAAAAGAACAGGAGAAATAAAAACCATTCCATATTTGATTAAGATAGGAGAATGATGATTTTATTGACAGAAATGAGTAAGATATGTACAACGATGTGGTAAAGTGGTTAAGAACAGGAGTTTGTAGTCCATGACTTGTGTTCTTGATCTGATTCCATGATTTATTAACTTTTCAGTTGTGAGCAAGTTGCTTAGCTTCTCAAGCCTCCGTTTTATTTCCCCATAATGGACTATATACCCTAATAAACCATTATGAGGACTAACTGAATTACTATGAGACTTACAAGAATGTATCATAACACCTGGTACCTATTAAGCTCTTTAAAATAGTAGATGCTATTATTATTATTATTATTATTTTTTTTTTTTTTTGAGACAGGGTCTGGCTGTTGTCCAGGCTGGAGCATAGTGGCACAATCTGGACTTACTGCAACCTTTGTCTCCCCTGCTCAAGCCATCCTCCTACCTCAGCCTCCTAAGTAGCTGAGACCACAGATATGCACCATCATGCCCAGCTAATTTTTCTATCTTCTGTAGAGACAGTGTTTCACCATGTTGCCCAGGCTGGTCTTGAATTCCTGAGCTCAAGCAGTCCACCCACCTTGGCGTCCTAAAGCGTGGGATTAAGGCGTGAACCACCATGCCCAGCCCAATGCTATTATTAAGATGGAACAGAGATACATTTTCAGAAAAACACATTGAAACTGACTACAGACATTCCGAATGTGAGGGAAGATTTTAATTTAACAAATCCATCAAGGTTAACAATGGCTTTGACACTTACTGTGGGGGGAAAACCATATTTGCAAATTTCCAAATCATATTAATGGTCAATATAACATAATCTGCATCATCTACAAATCATGAATTTCAAGGAAGTATCACATGAGGTACCCACTTGCACATCAGGAGAAGTACTGTCCTGAGCCAAAGTATACAGGATTCCAACACAAGAATTTAGGTGTTGAGAACTTATTCCTCCTAAATACCTATGCAGGGACGCCAAGGCCAATGAGTATCCTGTTCTAGTAACCACATCCCTTGCTGATTTCAATCTGTAAATATGAAAATAGAAATAAATTGCAATCACTGCAAAAGGAAAAAAACCCACAAAAGCTAATGTACATTGTCATTTAGGCAAAACTTTTTATATGGATAGTTGTAAAATTTAGAAATATATTTTTCAGCTAACTAATGAAAAATTCTGAAGTAATCTGAAAGGCATCTAGCAAAGGAAAATATTTTGAATCAAAATGTCTTTATATTATTAATGGTTAGCTTAGTATGAACAGTTTCAATGTCTTTCATATATACATGCACAAAGTTTTAAAGACAAGCATTATTACTTTATGATTAAGTTATATTTTAAAAACAAACGCTGAGATACTTTAATTTCATAGAGTTTCAATTTAACTTTGATTTTAAAAGTAAATAGGCTAGGTGCGGTAGCTCACGTCTGTACTCCCAGTGGTTTTGGAGGCCAAGGTGGAAGGATCACTTTAACCGAGACCACCTGGGCAACATGGTGAGACCCTGTCTCTATTAAAAAAATTTTGGGGGGTGGGCGCCAGTGGCTCTTGCCTGTAATCCCAGCACTTTGTGAGGCCGAGGCAGGTGAATCACAAGGTTAGAAGATCGAGACCATCCTGGCCAACATGGTGAAACCCTGTCTCTACAAAAAATACAAAAATTAGCTGGGTGTGGTGGTGCATGCCTGTAATCCCAGCTACTCGGGAGGTTGAGGCAGGAGAATCACTTGAACCAGATTGTCAATGACTGCAGATCACGTCACTGCACTCCAGCCTGGGGATAGAGCGAAACTCTGTCTCAAAAAATATATATTTAAAAAAATTAACTGGACAGTGGCACAAGCCTGTAGTCCTAGTCACTTGGGAGGCTGAGGTTGGAGTATTGCTGGAGTCCAGGAGTTTGAGGCTGCAGTGAGCCATGATCACACCAATGTACTCCAACCTGGGTGACAGAGCATGACCTTGTCTCAAAAATAAATAAATAAAAATAAATGTAAGAGAAGTTAACATTTATTAGGAATTTTCTATGTACTGTGTGCTCACTTAAGTGGTTTACATTTAGTCTTTCTTCAATCCCCCCAGCAACCCTGAAGTTCATACTATTATTCTTAGTTCCTGTTTATAGATGAGGAGACCAAAGTGATAGCTCAAGCAGCTCTCACAAAGCAACCCACTATTAAATGGTAGAGTTGGGATTATAGCCAAGCTAATAACCTGACTCCAGACTTCAAATCAGACACACATATTCAGTATATTCTAAGGTCAAAGTGCTATCAGTACTACTACCCCCACTACTAATATAACCAATTATACATATATAACGAATATAACCACAGTTTTATTTGTAGGCCTTTTTCCCATATTACTTTAATATTTACTAACTCATTTACCTTAACAAGTAGGTAGCGCAGTACCTCCTGGAATAGAGGAACAATGGCTGAGAGAATAAAGTAACCTACTGAAAGTTACAGATCTGATAGAGATAAAAGTACCGGTCAGGCATGGTGGCTCATGTCTGTAATCCTAGCACTATGGGAGGCTGAGGCGGGCAGATCATGAGGTCAGGAGTTCGAGACTGGCCTGCCTAACATGGTGAAACCCCGCCTCTACTAAAAAAATACCAAAAATTAGACAGGCATGGTGGTGCGCACCTGTAATCCCAGCTACTCAGGAGGCTGAGGCAGGAGAATTGCTTGAACCCAGGAGGTGGAGGTTGCAGTGAGCTGAGATCGTTCCACTGTACTCCAGCCTGGGTGACAGAGCAAGACTCTGTCTCAAAAACAAAAGAAAGTATAGTTTATGTTTGCTGATCCGCAGCCTACAGCGTTTTACTTTTCCTATAGCTTGTTCTTAGTACTTATATATATATTTTACACTATAAAACTATATTTCACTATCCTAGATCCCATTCCATTGATGATCAATTATATCATTCATATAGATACTGATCTTTCTCTTATTATATAAAGACTACAGCTGAAATAGTAATAGTTTTTTATGAACCAAGACTAGCAGGCCAATTTTTCCTTTCTTTATTTTAAAGCAGTCAACATTTGTCAATTTTTTTTTCTTAAATCTCAGAATGAAGACCTTACCACTTCCAACAAACCAGCAAGCTATACCCAGTTTTGAAATACAGCCCCTGAGTATTAAATAAGAAATTCACTTACTTGTCAAAGCTAACTTGAGCTAATCCAGCAGTAAAAGCTCCATCATCAACCACTTGGGCTAATCTAGCCCATGCCTCTGCAGCTGCACATCTCAGCAAGGGGTTGGGACTTTCTAGGGCTCCTGTAACTAATGTTAGGGCAAATCTTTTCATTTCTTCTGGACCTAAACATCCCTTGGAGCCAGCCACATACTGAAATATGTAAAGAACAACCCAAACTTATAATTGTAGCAAATTCTCATGTCCAGTTTGGAATGTATATTCTGGTTAACCAAATCTAAATATGTTCGTACTTGGATTACTACTTAAAAACAAATCAGAACACAAAAATCCACACCAATTAATACAAATATAATTTCATTTTTTTTACAAAGCACTTTAGAATTTTACACCTCCCAGCAGTAATATGGCAATCAATTATCATTAAGGTATAAATCTCCTTGAAAGAACATTAACAGAGATGTCCATAAAGTAAGTGATTAATGAAGTCTATTATATTTTACTGTACACAGAGATGGTAAGTCATAAGTGTAACAACGAGCTGGATTTGGTCCACAGGCTATAGTCCATCAATCCTTGGCTCAGGATATCAGGATAAGTAGGTTAATCCATGGCTCTATGCAGAGATTATAGGTTTGATTTCTAACATGCTTTATGTGGACAAAAAGTAAGAAGAGAATTCCAAATACTGAAAACTTTTGATCAGGAGATTAAGAAAAATGAAGGAAAAAAGAGCATTTTAAAAACATTGTCCTCTGACAAACTTCACTGGCTACAAATTTTTTAGAAAATTAAACAACTATTTAAATTAAAAAAAAATTACCTTCAAAAAACTAGAAACTGAAGAAACAACATGTAACTGAACCACTTGCTGACGAGCTCCTTTTGTGTGCTTAATATGGTCCAAAAGCTGTTCCAATATAAGAAGCCTACAATCAGAAATAAAAGGATTTAAAAGCAAGTAGGTAAGATTTGTTTTTTTGAGACGGAGTCTCACTCTGTCACCCAGGCTGGAGTATAGTAGTGCCATCTTGGCTCACTGCAACCTCTGCCTCCTGGGCTCAAGAGAGTCTCCCACTTCAGCCTCCCAAGTAGCTGAGATTATAGGTGTACACCACCATACCTGGCTAATTTTTGTATTTTTAGTAGAACAGCAGTAGTTTCACCATATTGGCCAGGCTGGTCTTGAACTCCTGAACTCAAGTGATCTGCATGCCTTGGCCTCCCAAAGTGCCAGGATTACAGGAGTGAGCCACTGCACCTGGCCTCTCAATACCATTTAAACCTCACACTTTAGGTTCTTTAAACTACTGCAGTAATTTCTAGTGTGAGGCTGCACATTCCAGTAATTGGAAAACTAAAATTTGAGTTAATACCAACAAATATATTCAATATTGATATAACTCCACAAAAATTTATATGTAACACATAGCCTTTTACAAATTTGAGGCAGGAAGATTGTTTAAGGCTAGGAGTTCAAGACTAGCCTAGCAACACAGTGAGACCTGTCTTACAAAAGATTAAAAAGTTAGCCAGGCATATTGGCACAAGACTGTGTAGTCCTAGCCACCCAGGAGGTTGAAGTAGAAGGGCTGCTTGAGCCCAGGAGTTCACGGTTACAGTGAGTTATGATTATGCCACTGCACTCCAGCCTGGATGACAAAGCAAAACCGTGTCTCAGAGAAAGAAAGAAAAATGTAAGAAAATAAAAATGATTTAAAAAGTGCTAACAAGGCAATAATAAGGGCCGGGCATGGTGGCTCATGCCTGTAATCCTAGCACTTTGGGAGGCCGAGGTAGTCAGGAGTTCAAGACCAGCCTGACCATGATGGTGAAACCCCATCTTAAAAAAAAAAAAAAAAGGTAATATTAAATGAAAAAAGAAAGGGTTAAAACTGTTTTACATATAGTATTATCCCAAGTATATTTTCAAAGCACAGTTGAGACTCAAAGAGCTATGCTGCTTCTGGTTAGCTATAGATGCAATCATAGCTCACTACACCTTTGACCTCCTGGGCTTAAGTGATCCTTCAGCCTCAGCCACCAGAGTACATGGAACTACAGGAACACACTTTCACACTCTCCTATTTTTTTAAAGAGATGAGGTCTCACTATGTTGCCCAGGCTGTCTTGAACTCCTAAGCTCAAGTGATCCTCCAAACTCAGCCTCTGAAATTGCTACGATTATAGGGGTGAACCACTGTGCCTGGTTATTTTTCTTTGTTTAAAACGTTTGTGAATCCAAATTTCATTATGCACATGCACAGAAATTTATTCAACCACTCTACTACTGGTGAGAAAAATGTTCCATTTTCACAATTCTAATTAAGATAAATATACATAATATTTCATGTCCTTATAGCACAGAGGTTTTAATTCCTTATGTCAAGATTAAATATATGTAACTATAAAATAAACCACCCCATCTTAACATCAATTTATCTTTTAAAACAGTTTCTATGCCCCATACTTTCCTTTTCCCTCTTTTCTCCCTTTAAATGAGAAATCTGAAATAATATTGAAGATAACTTTTTCAGTTGTAAATTATCTTGATGGCAGTAAGAGTAAAGCTTTTAATTTTATCTTCATCTCCCTAACATCTTGTGCTTGGCATGTAGTAGGCAGTCAGATGTGCTTGCTGAACAATCATAAACGACAATGGCATCACGTAATTAAACACGGCATGACTGGCTGAACATGAAAATATGCATATACTTTTATCTGACCTTAATGTACTTTCAATAATATCCCCAAGTCCTTTAAAACTAGATCTCCATCATTCTGCTAAGGCTACAAGGCAAGCTGTCCTGTAAAAGGCAATTCTGTTACCAAATCAGAATAGACATGAGGATCGTGCCTTTAAATCCAATTGTACAAGAAGTTAAAGAGTAAAAAGGAAGGTATGAGGCTATGTGTTGGGGAAAGCAGTATGTATAAAATCAATTTATAAAATGTAATAAAGGCTAGGTGTGGTGGCAAACACCTGTAATCCCAGCACTTTGGGAGGCAGAGGTGGGCAGATACCTGACGTCAGGAGTTTGAGACCAGCCTGGCAACGTGGTAAAACACCATCTCTATTAAAAATACAAAAACTAGCCAGGCATAGTGGTGCGTGCCTGCAGTCCCAGCTACTTGGGAGGCTGAGGGAGGAGAATTGCTTGAGCCCAGTATAGGAGGTTGGAGTGAGCTGAGATGGCACTGCTGCACTCCAGCCTGGGTGACAGAGTGAGACTCCATCTCCAAAAATTAAAATAAAATGTAATAAAAATTGGTGGAGCACTAAGAATACTTAGAAAAGTACCTATTTCCTTATTTCAAGGTTGTGTTCATCATAATAAATATAAAAAACTCAGAAAAGCACACGAAAGAAAAATAAAATTTACCCTAAATCCCATCACCTGTAAGAGCCACCATTTACATTCTGACATCTTTATTTCTCTTTTCTCCTTCAGACATATGAATTTTTAGAAAACAGAGACTGTATTGTACATACTTTTTAAATAATGTTTTTCGCCCCAAATAACATTATCAGAGATTTTCCCATCTTATTAACTATCATAGTGAATTAATTTTGTAAGTAGGTTGTTTTGTAAGTAGTGTTATATATTCTGGCAATGTAATTTACTTAACCAACTTTCTAGTTTGGGACATTTAGGCTATTTCTAATTTTTCTTATTATAAATAACATGAAAAATATCTTGCACACAAAAATTTTTCCGGTGGTTCACGCCTGTAATCCTAGCACTTTGGGCAGCAGAGGCAAGAGGATTGCTTGAATCCATGAGTTCAAGACCAGCCTAGGCAACACAGTGAGACTCTATCACCACTAAAAAGAAAAAAAAATTAGCCAGGTGTAGTGGTGCCTGCCTGTAGACCCAGCTACTTGGGATGCTGGGGCAGGAAGATTGCTTGAGCCTGGGAGACTGAAGCTGCAGTAAGCTGAGATTGCACCACTGCACTCCAGCCTGGGTCACATACTGAGACCCTGCCTCAAACAAATTAAAACAAAACAAAAGTTTTCTGCCCATTGTTTAAGTCCATATTTAAGGCATTTTTTTCCAAGAACATTTTTTTTTTTTTTTTTTTGAGATGGAGTTTCACTCTTGTTACCCAGGCTGGAGTGCAACGGCGCGATCTCGGCTCACTGCAACCTCCACCTCCTGGGTTCAGGCAATTCTTCTGCCTCAGCCTCCTGAGTAGCTGGGATTACAGGCACGCATCACCATGCCCAGCTAATTTTTTGTATTTTTAGTAGAGACGGGGTTTCACCATGTTGACCAGGATGGTCTCGATCTCTTGACCTTGTGACCCACCCACGCTGGCCTCCCAAAGTGCTGGGGATTACAGGCTTGAGCCACCGCGTCCAGCCTCCAAGAACATATTTATTTATGCCCAAAGCACACTATGGGAAGATTATGGAGGATAAATGGGACAACAAAGGGGAATTAAGAACAACCGTATGATCAAGCTCACAAGTTTAAAAATCTATAATGTCATTATTAGATCATATCCTACATCTGTTAAGCATTAAGAATTTTGTTATACTGTATATAAGTTGACCTATTCTATTATTTCTTGACCACATTCATGGAACAAAGACTACAAAACAGGGCTGTCAAGAGCCCAAAATATTTTTCTTCATCCTCTGCCCCCTGGTCCTGAAAGAGACTGAATACACTACTAACTAACCAAGGATCCAAGATACATGAAACCAATTCCTTTACAGATCTCAAAAAAAGATTCTGATCTTCAGGAAGATGGAAATAACTTATTCTTAGTAATACTCAATTAGTACTGTTAGTAGTATCAATTATAATATGTAATTATCATTTTGGAATGAAATGATAGATACTAAAAGTTTCGGGTCTAGATGGAATAAAAATACAGTTAACTGAATAAAAAGCGAAGATGTAACATTTGAAAATGCTGATTTATTTTACATTATACATTTTACATTTATATACCCTTTAGACAAAGTGTATACACAGTACACACTCTTTTGACAGAGGATATATAATGGCAAAATTTTAATACTGAGAATTACAACTGTTTAAGCTTTTCCTCTCTGTCCATCTGTTTACAAGTGACAGACATCACTTGTTAAAGCAGTCCATTTAACAGAATCACCTAAGGCATTTAAAAAATTTCAGCACCCACCACCACTGTATGTATACCATACTAACCAGGATCTTCAGTATTTTTTAAATTTGTCTAGGTAATTCCAATGTGCAAGTCAAGGGTGGAACAATCCTCAGGTCAATCAAGAAATTCTTTGCAATTAGGTGAAAATCGATTTAAAAGCAACCACAAATGAAGGCTAGAAGCAATGGTTCACACCTGTAATCCCAAAACTTCTGGAGGTTGAGGTGGGTGGATCACCTGAGGTCAGGAGTTCAAGACCAGCCTGGCCAATGTGGCGAAACCCCATCTCTACTAAAAATACAAACATTAGCCGGGCGTGGTGGCACGTGCCTATAGTCCCAGTTACTTGGGAGGCTGAGGCAGGAGAATCACCTGAACCCAGGAGGCGGAGGCTGCAGTGAGCTGAGATGGTACCACGGCACTCCAACATGGGTGACAGAGTGAAACTCTGTTTCAAAACAAAATAAAACAAAAAAATAAAGTAACCACAATCAGGTTGGGCTCAGTGGCTCATGCCTGTAATCTTAGCACTTTGGGAGGCAAAGGCAGGCAGATCACCTGAGGTCAGTAGTTCAAGACCAATCTGGCCAACATGATGAAAAACCATTTCCACAAAAAAATACAAAAATCAGCCAGGCATGGTGATGCATGCCTGTAATCCCAGCTACTTGGGAGGCTAAGGCAGGAGAATCTCTTGAAACCCAGGAGGCAGAGGTTGCAGTGAGCCAAGATTATACCATTGCACTCCAGCCTGAGCTGTCTCAAAGAAAAAAAAAGAACCACAAACAGTACATGATTGAGATCAATATTATTCTTTTGTGTATAAAATACCTTGACTTTCTAACCTTTAAACATTTTTGCATTAGACTCCTATAGTTAGAATAGAATCAACTAATTTAAAAGACAATTACTTACACAATAAATTGTGCATTAATTTATATGACATACATATTATGTCCAACCTTAGGGTAATCACATAATTGCTTATGACCCATTTTGTGTATGTGGGATCTTGCCAGACCACTTCTATATATACTTACATATATATGTTTTTAGACAGGGTCTTACTCTGTTGCTCAGGCTGGAGTGCAGTGGCGAGATCTTGACTCTTTGCAACCTCTACCTCACAGTCCAAGCTATCCTCCCACCTCCGAATCTTGAGTAGCTGGGACTACAGTTGCACACCACCATGCGCAGCTAATTTTTGTATTTTCTGAGGGAAGGGCTTTTGCCACATTGCCTAGGCTGCTCTTGAACTGCTGGGTTGAAGCAATTTGCCTGACTTGGACTCTCAAAGTGCTTGGTTATAGGTGTAAGCAACTGCACCTGGCCACCTATCATTTTTATTCAGTTAGAATTCAAACAGAGTGACAGGGTTTGCTTTTATCTGTTCTCAATGTTTTTATTAAAACAAACAAAACTTCCCCTTCCTTGAATATTGACTATTACTATTATAATTGAGGTGGGGATACAAAAAGTATGAGCCCATTAAAAATTTCATTAATCTTAATAAGAAAGCATCTTCCTGAAAGTACAATTAGGCAATAAATCCAAAAAGAAAACTTCTCTAGAATAATAAAATCACATTTTTAAGAGCAAAGGCTGTAAAAAGCATATTTTCTTTTTTGCTTTTCCACCATCAAAGATAGTGGAGCCATTTAAGAGCATGCTTAATTTAAATCCTTTGCTTAAAAGGCCAGCCCTGTTTCATCCATAGTAGTTATTGTTATATTAATCCAAATTAATTATTTCAAAGTATATGCTTTATAAAAAGGTAGTTAGAGACTAATTCAAATTTCATCCTCTCCATGTATCTTTCTGTGAATATTCCAAACCACTGTAATTTTCCTCTTATTTTTTATTCATTAAAAATTCAGTCACATATTCTTAACAGAATAACTATAACCTTATAGTTAACAGTATATACAGAAAATGCTACCTCTGGGAGAAACATTATCTTTTGAAATTGAAGCTAGTAAAAATCAATATAAATTTCATTCACTTTTCTATGCAATAAAAGCAAATTATCACAAGACCTGTTTCAGAGAGGCACTGCTGATGAAACTAAAATATTTTTCTAAGTCTTCATCAAAGAGATCAACGTAAATTCTCTAACTGGTAGCCTCTGGAAGATATAACTGGATAAGAAGATGTAATAAAAGCTATGATCTAGTCAAATGCATTGTTGCTGGTTGAGAGAGAGGAAGAAATAATGAATGAATCAGTGTGGATAATAGTGATTTGTAAACTATTAGCCAGAATAGCCTATGAGAGGATTCACTTCCCATTTAGTTTTTTAGACAGTAACAGAATTTCCTGGATATTGGATTTTTATGCCTGAGAAATGTATATATTCAGTTACTAATTAAGAAACTATCATTCTCAACAAGAAATTATTATCAGCCTTTGGTTTTTCAAAACAAAAGTTCATTTTTTGGGGAGGACATCTCGTATTTATTAATTTTTCACACACGATAGCATAAGATGGAAATCCCTACATAATATGCATTAATATTGTTAGTCATACCCTTTCCCCCCTAGTTTTACTGAGGTATAATTGGCAAATAAATACTGCATATATACATAAGGTGTACAGCATGGTGTTTTTAATGACGCTTTGCTCAGATATACATTGTCAAATAGACGACCACAATCAAGTTAATTATAAATATCCACTACCTTTGTGTGTGCATGTGTGTGTGTGTGTTCTAAAGTAGGGGGTCCCCAACCCCTGGGCCATGGACTGGTACTGGTGAACAGACTGTTAGAAACGGGCTGCACAGCAGGAGGTGAGCAGCCGGCAAGCGAGCACTACTATCTGAGCCCCACTCCTGTCAGATCAGCAGGGGCTTTAGATTCTCACAGGAGCATGAACCCTATTGTGAACTGCACATGTGAGGGATCTAGGTTTTGCACTCCTCACAACGCCTAATGATCTGAGGTGGAACAGTTTTATCCTGAAACCTCCCCCTACCCCTACCCCATGGACAAACTGTCTTCCACAAAACTGATCCCTGGTGCCTAAATGGTTGGGAACCACTGGTCTAAAGTTCATTTTAAGTGAACTAATAAAAACCATTTAAAATCCACCCAACTGAAAACAAATATCTGGACCTATAATGGTTCCAAAAAGTTCTCCAAAGTAAGAAAGCCTATGAGACCTAGTCATGGAAAAAACCTAGTATATGTCTTTGTAATAACTGCCCATAAATCAATATTCTTATGTCACTATAATTTTTCATTCATATTTTCTGATAGATGATAAGCTAAATGTGGGCAAAGTAGTGTACCCCAATAGTTCTAGTGATTTTAGGCATGTAATCATTTCTTATTAAATATTAGCCAAGTGAATAAACAAGAACTTTCATTTCCGCTTTACCTGTCACTTATAAGAAATCATTTAAGCTAATGAGATCTTCTGGCAACATTCTTCTTACCCACCAGTTCTCTATTATGCATTCACTGAAAGATTGAAGATGTTTACCTTTGAGTTACTCCCACATGAGCACATACAACCCCAAAGAGTTTGGCTGCAGAACCAATAACTGATAGTGCTGGAGGTAGGGGCTTAGGCACTGAATCTCCCTCTACGTCTTTCTCATAAACAGAATAAGGGTCATATTCAAGACTTCCGCAAGCAATACCATTACCAAGCAGGAGCTAAAAAGGAAAAAAAACTATGTGAGATTTTAAAATCACTGGTCACAGATTGAATCTACTCAAGATTAAAAAATGGCCATACTTGCTCTTCAATAAATCTATGGTCAGTTTCTTGTAGCAAAGGACTTAATATCAAAAGATCATCCTGATGACAGAGGGGTGGAAGTAAAAATGTAGATGCTGCCACCTGGATATCAGGGGCAGTCAAGTCTGCAGCCAGCTCTTTGAGGATAGCACAGATGTTTCCTGTTGAGTCACAGAAAAAGAGCAATTAGTACTATTGGTTATCTGGTGAGAGTATGGGGCTTAAAACTCAGGTTTAGCTTTAATGCACCCACTGGCCAACTTTAACATATCACAGCTGAAGATTGTATTTTTCATTCTTGAAAATTGCCCTAGAAATGACTGGCTCATTTCTAGGACTGGCTCCTTGTGACTAGATTGCTAGTTGTAAGGTTAAGAATGGATACTAAGCTGGGCGTGGTGGCTCACACCTGCAATCCTAGCACTTTGGGAGGCTGAGATGGGTGGATCACCTGAGGTCAGGAGTTCAAAACCAGCCTGGCCATCATGGTGAAACCCCATCTTGAAAAAAAAAAAAAAGAATGGATACTAAAAGATCATCTCAAAGGATGTGTATTTATATACATACCTTATGGTATAACATGACATGAAATATAAAAATAGATGTAAAAGAAGATTTACAAAAGCAGATTTTTTTTTAAAACAAGCAGTCTGAAAAAATTTATAAGAATTAGCCTGAGGCCGGGGGTGTGGTGGCTCAGACCTGTAATCCCAGCACTTAGGGAGGCAGAGGCGGGCAGATCACTTGAGTTCAAGATCAGCCTAGCCAACATGGCAAAACCCCATCTCTACTAAAAACACACAAATTAGCCAGGCATGGTGGCAGGTGCTTGTAATCCCAGCTACTCAGGAGGCTGAGGCAGGAGAATTTCTTGAACCTAGGAGGTAGAGGTTGTAGTGAGCCAAGATTGAGGCACTGCACTCCAACCTGGGCAACAGAATGAGACTCTGTCTCAAAAAAAAAAAAAAGAAAAAATTAGTCTGAAAAAACTTAGACATATTATTATAAAAAATTTCAAACATAAATAGAAGATATAATAGTACTAAGATGCCTGCCCCCACCTCTTCCAGCATATGTTCATTATTCATCTTTACCAGCTGGAACAATATCCTTTCATCTACATCCCCATTCCTGATCCCACATTCCTCCACATTATTTTGAAGAAAACCCTAGGCAGCACATCATTTCATCCATAAATATTTCATTGTACATCACTGTAGTGAAATGTTTTATTTTGAACATAATCCTACCATCATAATCTCATACTGTAAAAAAAACACTGAAATCAGATTCCCATTCAGCATTCAAATTTACAGCTATCTCATAAATGCCTGTTTTTGCCTGCTTCCATGTTTGAATCTAGATCTAAATAAGGTATACACGTTGCGGCTAGTTTATCTTGTCTCTTTCAATTTAATATTTTCCCTATACCTCCCCCCACCATGGGTAATTTATTTGAAGAAACAAGGTTATTTGTTTTGTACAACTTTCTACAGTCTGAATTTTTATGATTATATGCCCCAGGTATAATGTGTTCTATTTGTACTTTTAAAAAAATATAAAGTGGTAGTTGGATCTAGAAGTGGCTCATTTTTCTTTTTGGTGGGGGGGCAGGGTGGGTGCAGGTTAGTTCATAAATGGGTATTGTGTTCTCCCATAAGACTCGAGACAACATATGGTTGTCTTTAACAAATACACTGAAAAGCTAATCCATTTATCACACTGACTGCAATGATCACCTCAAAGATATTTTATCCTAACTTCTGTTGGATTATCAAAACATTTTATCCAGAGCGCTTAAATGGCTTTTGCCAGTTTGTAACTTAAGTACTGCAGGAATGAGTAAAAATTCCTTTAGAGAAATGTTTATACCATTCCAAGTGTTTCTTTGGGCAATTGCATCAGGATGAAATGAGGACTGGGGTGATACCCACCAATCAGAAGTGTCAGGATGAGTTAGGAAGGGTTTACTTGCCATCACCTTCTGTAACATCAGCAGCAGTAACAACAAATATTTATTTATTTTTTATTTTTTGAGACAGTGTTTCACTCTTGTTGGCCAGGCTAGAGTGCAAGGGCATGATCCCAGCTCACTGCAACCTCTGCCTCCTGGGTTCAAGTGATTCTCCTGCCTCAGCCTCCAGAGTAGCTGGGATTACAGGCATGTGCCACCACACCCAGCTAATTTTGTATTTTTAGTAGAGCCAGGGTTTCTCCATGTTGGTCAGGCTGGTCTCCAACTCCTAACTTCAAGTGATCTGCCCGCCTCAAATCCCAAAGTGCTGGGATTACAGGCATGAGCCACTATGCCCAGCCAACAACAAATATTTATTGAAGTTTATATATATATATATATATATATATATATTTTTTTTTTTTTTTCAGAGATGGGGCCTCATAATATTGCCCAAGCTAATCTCTAACTCCAAGCCTCAAGTGATCCTCCTGTCTCAGCCCCCTCAAAAGCTGAGATTACACACAGTGCTTGGCTTACTGAATACTAAATATGTGTTCGGAAATTTCCTAAAAGCTTTATGTATAATGCTCACAGTAACCTAATGAGGTCAGGTTAGTATGTTGTTTTACAGGTAAGGAAAAAGGAACAGATAATTTATTACTTGCCAGAGATCATATAGTGATTACATAGCTGCCAGACTGAAACCCAATTAATCAGGCTCCAGAATTTGAGCTTTTTTGTTGTTGTTGTTGTTGTAGTTTTTTTGAGACAGAGTCTCGCTCCATCGCCAAGTGCCAGGCTGGAGTGCAATGGTGCGATCTTGGCTCACTGCAACCTTTGCCTCCTGGGTTTAAGCAATTATCCTGCCTCAGCCTCCTGAGTAGCTGGGACTACGCATGTGCCACCATGCCCAGCTAATTTTTGTATTTTTAGTAGAGACAGGGTTTCACCATGTTGGCCAGGATGGTCTTGATCTCTTGACCTCGTGATTCGCCCACCTCAGCCTCCCAAAGTGCTGGGATTACAGGCGTGAGCCACTGCACCCGGCCGTCAGAATTTGAGCTTTTAACCACCATGCTGAATCATTCATTCATCTAAATTGTGTTTAATATGCTATAGAGAAAAATTTTTATATTTATTATTATTTTTTCAGCCATATGAAAATTTTTATTATATTTAATCTTCCTTTCAAGAAGGTATACATTATGGGATACCAATACATACATATAATATGAACATAGGTACTATTATGCTTCATAAAAGATAAAAACATAAGCACCATTAAATTTAGGGAGAGATTACATACAGGAATTAGAAAGAGTAGACAGGATCAGTGAAGTCTTAATCAAGCAAATGAGAGCTGCTCAAAGGAATGTCTACATTTAACAACCAGCATATGACACTTAGGAAAATAATTCTGTTGATAGTACAATAAACAAGGTATGTTTGTTCCTACAGCTGTGTGTGAAAATAGTAGAAAATCTCTGCTTCTCAGTTAAAGTGTTTACTTGCCTAACTGTCCCTGGAAAAAGTATCTAAAGGTAATTAAGATAATTTTGAAATGCAAATAAACTTTTGCATAAAATGTACCACTGACTTGCTGATGAGTTATTTTCAGTGTAGAGAATATTAAAATATTTGAAAAGAAATCCATACCAAAACTAAGACAGGAAATAAAAACTAAGAACTCAATTTTCACTCCAGTCCTTTGGAAAACTAAGTCACGCTAAGACTCTAAGTCTACATCTGCTGTATAATCATGAAGAAAAGTTATTTCAATTCTTAAATACATTCCAGGTGACAAAAGCAATTACTTACTATGCCCTAGAAACTGACTCTTTGACAATACATTGGAGCGACTGATGAAAATCAGAACTTTATTTATTTTGTGATGGAGTCTCACTCTGCTGCCCAGGCTGGAGTGTAGTGGCTTCATCTCAGCTTACTGCAACCTTTGCTTCCCAAGTTCAAGTGATTCTCCTGTCTCAGGCTCCTGAGTAGCTTAGACTACGGGCATGCACCACCATGCCCAGCTAATTTTTTTGTGTAGTTTTTAGTAGAGACAGGATTTCACTATGTTGGTTAGGCTGGCCTCGAAATCCTGACCTCAAATGATCTGTCTGCCTCAGCCTCTGAAAGTGCTGGAATCACAGGTGTGAGCCACTGTGCCCGGCCTAGAGTTTTTCTCCAGAAGTTCATAGTAAGCCCTGATTTTGTCTCTGCAACTGATTTGACACACACACACATATTCATTATTCCTTTAGGACTCCTGATTGCATTTCCAAACTCCAATTCTGAGAAAATCCAAGTTAAAAAAAAAGTAGAAGACTTCAAGACTTTTTCCTCTAATTCAAGTTTTTTAAAGGGTAAGACTTACATTATCAGGGCGTGCCTAGTGGCTCATGCCTGTAATCCCAGCACTCTGAGAGGCTGAGGCAGAAGGATAATTAAGCCTAGAAATTTGAGAACAACCTGGGCAGCACAGAAAGACCCAGTCACTACAAAATGACAAAAAACAAAAACAAAAAACTAGCCAGGAGTGGTGGCATACACCTATAGTCCCAGCTACTTGGGAGGCTGAGGTGGGAGGATCACTTGAGCCTGGGAGGTCAAGGCTGCAGTGAGCCATGATTGTACAACTGCACTCCAGCCTGGATGACAGAGTGAGGCCTCATATATATGTTAAAAAAAAAAAGACTTACATTATAACTTATCAGAAGATACATTGTAGATTTTAAGTAGTGATTCTTGTATTCCTAAATGTTTAATGAAGAGTTGAGCAGCAGTCCTTTTGGCTGGGCACAGTCGCTCATGCCTGCAATCCCAGAATTTAGGGAGGCCAAGGAGGGCAGATCACCTGAGGTCAGGAGTTCACACCTGTAATCCCAGCACTTTGGGAAGCTGAGGAGGGTGGATCATGTGAGGTCAAAAGTTCGAGACCAGCCTGGCCAACATGGTGAAACCCCATCTCTATTAAAAACACAAATTAGTCAGGCGTGGTAGTGCGTATCTGTAGTTCCAGCTACTTGGGAAGCTGAGGCAGGAGAATCACCTGAATCTGGGAGGCAGAGGTTGCAGTGAGCCAAGATCACGCCACTGTGCTCAAGGCCTGGGCAACAGACAAGACTCTGTCTTAAAAAAAAAGTATATTTTAGTCTGAAAATAAATTCAAAGGTACTACTGTAAAATTCTGAAGGAAACGGCTTTTGTCACAACCGAACAGTTATCTGAGCTGTGGAACGTAGAAATTATCTCTCAGCTTTTTACTAGATATCTAACAAGTACTTTTTTTATTGATAGATGGCACAGAGTAAGACAGACATATCACTAAGATATGACTGTGAAGTCTCTAAACAGGTTACTAAGAAAAGGCAGCAGCATAGCCTGAGGCAAACGTATGTTTTAATCTTGACTCTACTCTTTACCAGATATGTATTGTTGAGTTGGGTTTTGTAACCTAAACCATTATCTCTGAAATAAGAAAAATGTAACTACCTCACTATACCATCCTAGGATAAACAAGATATGATAGATACAATTTCTAGTATACTGCCTGGCCTTAAGAAGGTGGTTTTTTTAAAAAAACATATTTTAGGCTTGGTGCAATAGCTCACACCTGCAATTCCAGCACTTTGGGAGGCCAAGGTGGGAGAATTCCTTGAGCCCAGGAGTTTGAGACCAGCTTGGGCAACATGGCAAAACCCCATCTCTTCCAAATATACAAAAAATTAGCTGGGCGTGGTGGTGTGCCTATAGTCTCAGCTGCCCAGGAGGCTGAGGTAGGAAGGTCATGTGAGTCCAAGGTCAAGAATGAAGTGACCATGATTGCTTACCACTGCACACCAGCCTGGGTGAGAGAGTGAGACCCTGTCTCAAAAAAAATTAAAACAAAACCCCAAATGTATTTATTTACCATAAAATGGTGAACACCTGGATTAGAACTGATTTCTCTATATCTTCTAGAAACAAGGCACTAAATAACTGCCATTATAATTCATTTAAGTACTTAATGAGTAACAATAACTTTCCGGGAACTATACTAGCCACGAACAACAAAACCTTTTGGTCTAAGGCACATACCTTCATAGGTCTTAGGAGGTAATAAAATCAACAGTTCATAAAGTCTTTGTCTATAAACCACTGATGGTGTTTTCAAAGGGCTTCCATATGTTTTTAGTATTGAAGAAAGCCTTAAAATAAAAGGAAAAGTACATTTTAAGTGGTTAAGTTATATAACAATATATAAAAACTGACAGCTTAACATCTTAACATGTAAGTTATATATCTTATTAACAAACATTAGTGCTGCTTGATTTTTCTTTTTTGAGACAGGGTCCAGCTCTGTAAACCAGAATGGGGTACGGTGGCATGATCTTGGCTCACTGCAATCTCTGTCTTCTAGGTTCAAACCAGCCTCCCACCCTGGATTCCTGAGTAGCTTGGAACTACAGGTGTGGATCACCATGCCTGGCTAATTTTTTTGTATTTTTGGTAGAGACGGGTTTTGCCATGTTGCCCAGGCTGGTCTCAAACTACTGGGCACAAGCAATCCTTACACCTCATTCTCCCAAAGTGCTAGGATTATAGGCCCGAGCCACCACACCTGACCACAAAATATCTTACGATCTTTCTTTACTCTCTCCTTTCATTTTCACGTACTCTTCTTCATCTTCTGTTCACCTTTCCTATTGGTGCTAAGACATCACTTTACCAATGCTCATTCATTCAACAAACATTTGCTAAGAATACTACTCTTAACAAGGTACGTAATCAACTACAGCATGGGTTTCATCCTTAGCAATATAGAAATTCAATGAAATTACTTTTATTATGTCACTGGAGTAAATTTGCTAAACTGTTACAGCATGAGGTTCCCAGGTTCTCTAATAAATTCTGGCGATGTTGAGTCATTTTTTGGTGTGGTTGAGACGGGGTCTCGCTTTGTCACCCAGGCTGGAGTGTACTGGTGTGATCTCAGCTCACTGCAGCCTCAACCTCCTGGGTTCAAGTGATCCTCCCATCTCAGTCTCCCAAGTAGCTGGGACCACAGGTGTGGGAGACCATGTCTGCCTTATTTTTGTATTTTTTTGTAGAGATGGGGTTTTGCCATGTTGCCCAGACTGGCCTAAAACTCCTGGGCTCAAGTAATCTGCCCACCTCGGCCTCCTAAAGTGTTGGGATTACAGGCATGAGACACCATGCCTAACTAACTGTAATTTCTAGAAACTAATGCTTTGCTATTTTTAATAGAAGAAAGGAGAGTTATCTATTGACTTATCATTGCATTATTTTTAAATGTTGATTCCATTTAGTATCTTTCAGTTTGGTAAATACTATTCAGCAAACATAATTATAACACCTGGGTAAGGCCAGAAGTGATGGAGGCTCACACTTGTAATTCCAACATTTTGGGAGACTGAGGCCAGATGATCACTTAAGCACAGGAGTTTGAGGATACAGTGACTCAAACTCCATCCTGTGCCACTGCACTCCATGACTGCGCCACTGTACTCCATCCTGGGCAACAGATTGAAACAGTGGCTCTAAACAAAAACAAAAACCTTTATTTCAGTAGAATTTTTTAGTTACCAAAGTTAAGAATAAATCCGTGGCATTTTTTTATTTCTCTAAGGCCAGATCAGAAATAAATAGCTAACATATAAAAAATCTTTCAATCATATTCACAAGATGTTAGAAAATTATATTTCTAAAGATCCTGCAACATTCACTTATTTTAAATATAATAAAATTTAGTTCAGAGAAATCTGTGCATATTTTTTTAAAAAAGATGAATAAAACAAAACAATTTAGAAAAGCATTTTTATTGGTTTCTCCTTTCATTAGCAGGGCAGATTACAGTCCCAGCAGGGCCTTTCTGCTACTTACTTAGGTAAGTATAATAAGTCTTATATCAGGATAAAGATAATTTGTATTGTTAGACTTATAGAAAGAGACTTTCTGTTGGGGTATGGCCAACCAGCCCCTTTATCAATACCAACACTAGTATCAGTACCAACACAAGGATCTGAGACTAGACTTGCACCCATGTTGGGGTGTAAAACCCGTTCATTTTAAGAAACTTTCACCAAATCAAACTAGAAATAGGAGGTTACTCTCTTAATCTGATAAGAGTATCTATTAAAAAAGCTGGAGGAAACATCATTCTTATCAGTAAAACATGAAAAGCATTCCCTTTATCTAACCATTTCTAATTTAGTTTTAAATGGCAGCTATCTAATATAGTTAGCACATAAGGAACAGAGAAATAATATTGTAAAAGGAAAAATCCAGATAAATCTACAAATAAATGTTTAACATGAGAAAATTCAGCAAAGTGGTTGGATAAAAATACATTGCTATACAGCAGCAATAAACACACACTATATACCTACTTAAAAAAAATTCAACTTTGTAAAACACCTCAATAATAGTATGTTCACGGGTGTTGTAAAACTATGAATTATGTTCAAATTTATCCAGAGATTCAATGCAATCTCAAGTAAAATTTCTTTTATTTTTTTTGAGATGGAGTCTCACTCTGTCGCCCTGGCTGGAGTGCAGTGGCATGATCTTGGCTCACTGCAGCCTCTTTCTCCTAAGTTCAAGCGATTCTCCTGCCTTGGCCTCCCAAAGTAGCTGGGATTACAGGTGTGTGCCACAACACTCAGCTAATTTTTGTATATATATATTTTGTTTTAGTACAGATGGGGTCTCACCATGTTGGCCAGGTTGGCCTTGAACTCCTGACCTCAAATGATCTGCCTGCCTCAGCCTCCCAAAATGCTGGGATTATAGCCTGAGCCACCTCATCCGGCCCCAAATAAAATTTCAATAGAAGATCAAAAGTGCATGAAGGGCCAAAATATGTCTAAAGAGGAATAAGGTCAAAAAGCTCAATCTAACATATAAATATAAAATTTATTATAAAGATAACATGTTGGCATATAAATAAACACATCAATAGAGAGCACAGACACAGATCTTGTATAAATGAGAATATAATACATGACAAGAGTGAATGGCAATCACTGAAGGAAATACGAATTTTTTTTAGAGAAGTATGGGGCAATTGTTATCTACATTTAAAAAGAAAATGAAATAGAATCCTGCTATGGTCTGAATGTGTCCTCCAAAATTCATGTACTAGAAACTTAATCCCCAATGCAGTACTGCTGGGAGGTAGGGCCTTTAGGTAGATGTTCAGGTCATGAAGGCAAAGCACTCACAAATGGATTAATGTCATAAAAGGGCTTCATGGAGGGAGTTTATCCCCTTTTTTGCCCTTCCATCCCTTTGCCATGTGAAGAAGACAGAGTTCCTCCCCTCTAGAGAATGTAGCAATAAGGAACCATCTTGGAGGTAAACAGCAGACTCTAACCAGACACAAAATCTGCTGGTGTCTTGATCTTGGACTCCTGCCTCCAAAACTATTAGAAATAAGTATCTGCTTTTTAATGAATTATCCAGGTATTTTGTGACAGCAACACAGCAGCACAAATAAGATCCCTAGCTCACTCCAAATAGAAAAATCAGTTTCAGATTACTTAAATATGAAAGACAAACCGTCAAACATTTCAGAGAAAAATATAAGAAAATAAAACTTTGCAGTAAGGCTTTTTTTTTTTTTTTTTTTTAACTGGAGTCTTGCTCTGTCGTCCAGGCTGGAGAGCAGTGGCACAAACATGAGTACAGCCTTGAATTACGGTGCTCAAGCAATCATTCCCACCTCAGCCTCTTGAGTAGCTAGGACTACTAGTAAACATCACTATGTTTGACTTTTCTTTTGTTTGGGTCGAGATAAGACCTTCCTGTGTTGCTCAGGCTGGTCTCGAACTTCTGGCCTCAAGCAATCCTCCCACCTTGGCCTCCCAACGCACTAGGATTACCGGCATGAACCACTGCCCCAGCCAGAAAGAATTTTTAAACAAAAAAAGCTGAGCACGATGGCTCATGCCTATAATCCCAGAAGTCTGGGAGACTGAGGTGGGCAGATCACTTGAGGCCAGAAGTTCAAAACCAGTGTGGCCAACATGGCAAAATCCTATCTCTACTAAAAATACAAAAATTAGCCAGGCGTGGTGGTGCATGCCTGTAATCCGTTACATGGGAGACCAAGGCTGGGGGATCATTTATACCCAGGAGGCAGAGGGTGCAGTGACTGGAGGTCACGCCAAATCACTCCAGCACGGGCAACAGCAAGACTCTGTCTGAAAAAACAAGCAAACAAACAAAAAAAACAACCTGGCCGGGCACAGTGGCTCACATGTAATCCCAGCACTTTGGGAGGCCAAGGCAGGTGTATCACCAGAGGTCAGGAGTTTGAGACCAGCCTGGTCAACATGGTGAAAACCTCATCTTTACTAAAAATAGAAAAATTAGCTGGGCATGGTGGTGCATGCCTGTAATACCAGCTACTCAGGATGCTGAGGCAGGAGAACTGCTTGAACTCGAGAGGCGGAGGTAGCAGTCAGCCAAGATCATGTCACTGCACTCTAGCCTGGGCAATAGAGCAAGACTCTAAAAACAAAAACAAAAGCAAAAAGTTCTTATAAATCAGCAACAAAAAGACAACCTAAAAGAAAAATAGGTTAACAGTATGAATGAACAGGCATTTTATAAGAAGAGGAGGGGGAATACTGAGGAAAAAAACAAATACATAAAATTACACTTAAAGTGTCAGGAAACTGATATACAATTAAAACCATGAGATACCATTTTATATCTATTGGATGGGGTGGAATTGATATCTGAGTAAGTGTGGGTAAAAAAGTGGATCAAAGGGTACTTACACTATCGTTAGAAATACAGAACACTGAAAAATAATTTGGCATTATTTTCTGAAGATGAACACAGAAATACATTTTAGCATAGCAATTTCACTGCTAGGTATATACCCTAGAGGCCTAAACACTTGAGTAAGAATGGTCATAGCATTAGCTTTAAAAGCAGAAAACTGGAAACAACCCAGAAGCCAATGGACAAGAGAATCAATATGTTGTTGTATATGTACATAATTAAATATTATACAGCAACCAAAATGAATGAACTTAAACACAGGTAAAACGTAGAAACATAATGTTGAATAACAAAAGCAAGTACCAGAAACAGGACAATAATTTTTGCCTGACCAAAACCAAGCAAACCTAAACAACATACTATTTTAAGAAACAAAAATATGTGATACACTTTTTTAAAATGCAAGGAAATGACAACTATAAAACTCAGATTAGTGGCTGCTTCTAAAGGAAGGCAGAAAGAATGGTGCTGAAGAGGGGCACATAGATACCTTCAATAGTATCATTAACACTCTAGTCCAGTGGTAGCCAAATTATGATGCACTGCCTGTTTTTGTAAAAAAAATTTTATTGGAACACAGCCACATTTGTTCATTCATTCATTTACCATAATATTATCTATGACTGCTTTTGAGCTACAATGAGAGTTGAGTAGTTGCAACATAGACTTCATAGCCTGTAAATCCTAAAATATTTACTGTCTGCTCCTTTGGAAGAAACATTCACAAACCTCTGCTCAGCCTGTGTTGGATTCACAAGTGCACATTTTATTATTATATGTTATAAGCCATATCTTAAACGTATTTTTCTGTATATATAAAGTTTAATCGTTAGATGCTCTTTGCAAAGAACTTTCTGCATGTTTTATTAATTTGGAAATTACAAGTGATCACATTATATATTGGCTTTTCCCTATGTTTTAATCATATATGTATAACTCAAAGTTATGAAAAATACAAACAAAAAACTGAAACTGTTAACAAGTATCTGGTTCTCACGAACACAAAATACACTAACAAACCAATAAAATGCATACCTGAAAAGGTTAAGAGGCTTAATATTTAATTTCTTGTTAAATCTGCCTGTATGGAAGGCACATTATTCCCCCAAAATTTTCCTTCCCTTTTAATATATATTTTTCTTTCAAGATCCTAGCCTTAAAAAAAAAAAAATCACATAACTAACTGATTACCTTCCTCTACAAAATCATTCACCAACTATAGAAATTTGCCTTATTAATGTACTTAAGGAATATTACAGAATCAGAGGGTAATTAATTCCTCTTAGAAAATTTTATCAAATCTAAATAGTTGATCCTTACTGAGTTAGCAAATCCACAGCACAAGGAAGTGGTGGAAGAAGACGCTGAATTACTTCCTCAGTAAGGAGATCACCACAGTGGGAAACAAAGCTCTTGATAGCTGAAAAAGAAAACAGGCTTTTACTTCGGCATACTGTAATCAACCATGAAAGGTACATTTGATTATGGTACAACATTAGCATTGTTATTAGAGTAACAAAGCAATTTGCTAAAATAAAAAAATCTTGAAACTCTAGTATAAAAAGGAATATAGTGCCTTCTACTCCTAAATCACACTTAAAAATTTTTTTAAAAACTCCCTGGATTACTAAGACTGAGCAATAACCGTATACACAAAATGTTGCTGTCCTTGGGTTTTACTCAGCCCTCAAGCTCAGAAGAAAAAACAAAAACAGCATAGACTCTCAAGTTTGCCAGCTCTATAGCTACTTCCAAGGAATCACACTGACTTTCAAATGTTAGGCTTTTACAAATGTTATCTGAAACAAATAATGTGTGCCACTACACCCAGCTAATTTTTGTATTTTTATAAGAGAGGCGGGTTTCACCATGTTGGCCAGGCTTACTCTCAAACTCCTAGCCTCAAGTGACTGATCTGTATGCCTCAGCCTCCCAAAGTGCTGAGATTACAGGAATGAGTCACTGCACCCAGCCTGAAATAAATAACCTTCTATAATAAATTACTTTTTATGTAGAATAAGATGAGTACTTTAAAATCAGACTGGGCCAGGCATGGTGGCTCATGCCTGTAATCCCAGCACTCTGGGAAGCTGAGGCAGGCAGATCACCTGAGGTCAAGTGTTGGAGACCAGCCTGACCAACATGGAGAACCCTGTCTCTACTAAAAATACAAAATTTAGCTGGGTGTAGTGACTCATGCCTATAATCTCGGCTACTCGGGAGGCTGAAGCAGGAGAATTGCTTGAACCTGGAAGGTGCAGGTTGCAGTGAGCGGAGTTTGCGCAATTGCACTCCAGCCTGGCAACAGTAGTGAAACTCCGTCTAAAAAAAAAAAAAGTCAGATTGATCAATTCTTCTTTTCCCCCTCCCCTTTGAGACAGAATCTCAGGTTGGAATGCAGTGGTGCAATCACAACTCACCACAGCCTCCTAGGCTCAGGTGATTCTCCCACCCCAGACTACAGCCATGTACCACCATGCCGGGCTAATTTTTGTATTTTCGTAGAGAGAGGATTTCACCATGTTGTCCAGGCTGGTCTTGAACTCCTGAACTCCTGAGGCCACCCACGTTGGCCTCCAAAAATGATGGGATTAGTCGTGAGCCACGGAGCCTGGCCAAGATCAATTTCAAAAGTGGTTTTTCATTAAGAGTAAAAATACCATGAATAAACAAAATCAAAATCAATGCTTCCATGTCTAACCAAGCATCTCATCACAGTCTATATATTGTAGAAGGTACAACTTCCACATACAGGTGACTCTTGAACAACACAAATGTGAACTTCACAGGTCCTTTTATGCGTGGATTTTTTTCAGTAGACACCACACCAAGTGTGCCTACCTCTCCAGCCTCCCCTTCCACCTGCTCCACCTTCTGAATCTGCCCCCGCTGAGAGAAGAAGACCAACCCCTCCTCTGCCTTCTCAACATAAAAACAATGAGGATGAAGACCTTTATGATGATCTATTTCCATGTAATGAACAGTAAATATATTTTCTCTTCCTTAAGATTTTCTTAATAACATTTTTTTCTCTACCTTACTCTAAGAATACAGTATATAATATATACAACATATAAAATATGTGGGGCCAGGTGTGTTGACTCATGCTTGTAATCCCAACACTCTGGGAGGCTAAGGTGGGAGGAGTGCTTGAGGTCAGGGGTTTGAGATCAGCCTGGGCAGTATAGTGAGACTCTATCTCTACAGAAAATTTAAAAATGAGCTGGCCATGGTGGCATGCACCTACAGTCTCAGTTACTTGGAAGGCTGAGGTGAGAGGATCACTTGAGCCCAGAAGGCCAAGGCTGAAGTGAGCTGCGTTCACCCCAGTGTACTCTAGCCTGGGTGACAGTGAGACCCTGTCTCAAAAAGACCAAAAAAAAAAAAAACGTGGTAACTGACTATGTTATCAGCAAGGCTTCTGGTCAACAGTAGGATATCAGATATGCTTTGGGTGAGTTAAAATTTGGACATAGATTTTTGACTTCGAAGGACATTGGTATCCCTAACCTCCATGCTGTTCAAGGGTCAACTGAATAGACTAAAGGGAAACCATGCTTAATCAATGGTAATTAAACCAAATCTTAGTATTTCTGAAAAGAGGAATGAATGCTTACCTAAGACAAAACAATGTTAATAGTTTTTAACTGGATTGCACCTAATAAACCATTAGTATCTTAAGAATTCTCAAATCTGGTTTATTATATCATACACCAGTTATCATTACCAACTAATCAATTACAAATTTTTTGTTCAGTTATAAAAAAATAACTAGAGGCATATCCCCTCTACCCTTGGTAAATAAAACATACAAGTACATGTTAAGTACCACAGGTGGGCACAAAACCAAAGGAAACAGAGAGAAAAGACTAAATCCAACCTACCACACAGCGCACCAGCTCGTCCTTCCAGGGTTACCTGCCATGTAAATGAATCTCCTCGGCTCTTTTCTGTTTCTAGATCTTTAGGAGATGCTGGAAAGACACACTTCCACAACAGGAGAACTCGAGCAAGGTGATGGCTAACAACTGCAGGACCTGTAATTTATTCAACTTGTCACTTGTAAGAGAACCTAAGGTTGTCACTCTTTAAAATTATATAATTAAGCAGGAACTTCTCCCTAAACATTTTAATTTATTATTGCAATATTTTGTCCCCTTTCTCATCTTTGGGTTCCAAATTAATCTATTACTAAATGAATTATTATCTGAAGGTGCTGGAGCACAGAAAGGAAAAACAACGAACTAATGGTACAGCGTGGGCTCTAGTGTCAGCCCTTCCACTACTGCTATGTCCCCTTTAAGACTCAGTTTCATCTGCAAATAAAATGAAGCTAAAACACCCTGTAATGCTTGTCTTTAAGGGCTTGTCAGGTCCAAATGACAGAATGCACTTCAAAGTACTCTGAAAAGCTGTAATAGACCACATAATGCAAAGTACAACTGTTATAGTAACAAACAATATTGTATCCTTTTTGAGACAGGGTCTTGCTCTGTCCCCCTGACAGGAGTTAAGAAGTGCAGCTGTATGATCACAGCTCACTGGTGATGCTTCTATCTCAGCCTCCTGAATAGTTGGGACTATAGGTATGTGCCATCATGCCCAGCTAATTTTTGTATTTTTTTTTTTTTTTTTAAGAGATGAGATCTTGCCATGTTGCCCAGGCAGGTCTGAGCTCCTGGGCTCAAGCAGTCCACCCACTTCAGCCTCAAAAAGTGCTGGAATTACAGATGTGAGCCACTGCACCTGGCCCATTGTATTCCTGATCTTCAGAATAATGCTAACTTCTAACAGCAACTTGTTCCAGGTCAAAAATCAGATATGAAATACCTAAACAGAACACTTTTTGTGAAAAAAAGATTTCAGAGCAACATTTATGAAGTGAAGGAATCATAACACAAACCTAGTAGTAATACAAAACAATGTTCAATTATAACATTATCAATTTAAAAAAAACTAAGATATACAAGATATATAAAAACCAAAACCCATAGCTTTTCTCCCCAAGTAACTTTTCTTTAAATTTCTGGGGTTACCTTAAACTTCTCCAAAAAGCACTCTCTACTTCTTACTCCCACATTCCACTGACTTTATGTCTTTATTCTGTTCCAAACCCATAGCTCAGAAGTGCATTTAGCTTTGGAGGGAGACTGCTTAGGTTAATATCCTGGCTCCATCCACTTATTAGTTGAATAAACCTGGATGAGTTACTTAACCTTTTTGTGCCTCAATTTCCTCATCCATAAATGGGAGAATAACAGTATTTTATTCAAAGGACAGTTTCTGAGGCGTATTATATTGAGTTTATACACAGAATAGCACTTAAAGCTGAGCATGGTGGCTATGGCTGTAATCCCAGCACTTTGAGAGGCTGAGGCTGCAGGATTGCTTGAGGCCAGGCAGGTCAACAGACCAAAATCCCAACTCTACAAAAAAGTAAAAAGTTAGCTGGGTGTGGCTGGGCACATGCCTGTTTGGGAGGCTGAGGCAGGAGGATCATTTGAGTCCAAGATATCAAAGCTGCAGCAAGCTACACTCTGATTGTGCCACTGTACTCTAGCCTGGGCAACAGACAGAGCAAGATCCTTTCTTTACATAAATAAATAAATAAATATATAAATATTATAATGTATCTAGCAAACACAAAATACACACACACTTTATGAACCATCCAAAGAGAGACAAGATATGAAGGAATCTGTAGATAAATCCAAGTTTTTTTATATGGCATCAGATAAACTAGGAAGTGTATCAAAAAAGGCTTAAGTGTGTAGTTCACATTCAAGGAATGAATGTGGTTTACTTGTATTTACATTAGTTCAGAGTAAAATAGGAAAGAAACTTATAAATAGTAAAGGGAATGATAAAAACAGAGATGTGTTTGAAATGCAAAGCAAAAATTAACAGAGCACTAAGATTGCTATCTAAAAATCATTCCCAGCTGGGCACTGTGGCCCATGCCTGTAATCCAAGCACTTTAGAAAGGCAAGGCAGTAGCATCACTTGAGCCCTGGAGTTCAAGATCAGCTGGGTAAAAAGCAAGATTCCATCTCTACAAAAAAAAATTTTTTTAATTAGCTGGATAGGCTGGGTGCAGTGGCTCATGCCTATAATCCCAGCACTTTGGGAGGCCGAGGCGGGTGGATCACAAGGTCAAGAGATCGAGACCATCCTGGTCAACATGGTGAAACCCTTTCACTACTAAAAATACAAAAATTAGCTGGGCATGGTGGCGCATGCCTGTAGTCCCAGCTACTCAGGAGGCTGAGGCAGGAGAATTGCTTGAACCCAGGAGGCGGAGGTTGCAGTGAGCCGAGTTCGCGCCATTGCACTCCAGCCTAGGTAACAAGAGCGAAACTCCGTCTCAAAAAAAAATTAGCTGGATGTAGTGGTACAAACCTATAGTCATGGCTATTTAGGAATCTGAGGCAGGAGGACTGCTTGAGCCTGTCATTCAAGGTTGCAGTGAGCTATGATACTGTCACTGTACTCCAGTATGGGTAATAGGCTGAGACCTTGTTTCTTTAAAAAAAAAAAACCCACAAAACCTTTTCCCACAAAAGGAATCAAGGCTCTTTGGAGAAATGGCTAATGGCAAGCCTAGGACAGGAAATGTACAATATAAATCCTGGGACATCTTACATCTAAAAACACATTCTCAAAGAATACTAGGTTCATGTTAAAAGAGCAAATGAACCAACTTGAAGCAACTCCCAATGACCAAAGATAAGACAATTTGAGGATTGAAAGGAATAATTATCGCAAATGATTAAAACATATAAATATATAGAATTCCATGAGTTCATAATGATACCTAAAAACAAAAACTTCACTGGTTCCCCTTGAAAGCTGCTAATGATACTAACCCATTCTAAAAATTGATAATAGCCCAGGTGCAGTGACTCATTACTATAGTCCCAGGATTTTAGGAGGTCAAAGCAGGTGGATCACTTGAGTCCAGGTGTTCAAGACCAACCTGGGCAACATGGCAAAACCCCCATCTCCACAAAAAATTAGCCAGGTGTGGTGGTGCATATAGTCTCAGTTATTCAAGAGGCTGAGGTAGGTGGATCATCTGAGCCTGGGGAGGTTGAAGCTGCAGTGAGTCATGATCGTACCACTGCACTCCAGCCTGGGTGACAAAGTGAGACCCTGTCTCAATAAATAAATAAATAAATAAGAATAAAAATAGATACTAAAGGGAAAGAATAGTTAAGAAAAATGAATAGAGAGGCGCAAGGCTGAGCCATGGTAAAGAAGCGCGACGCCATCCTGGAGGTGCTGGAGAACCTGACCCCAGAGGAGCTCAAGAAGTTCAAGATGAAGCTGGGGACCGTGCCGCTGTGCGAGGGCTTTCAGCGCATCCCGAGGGGAGTGCTCGGGCAGCTGGACATCGTGGACCTCACCGACAAGCTGGTCGCCTTCTACCGCGAGGACCAGGCAACCAAGCTCGTCGTGACCGTGCTGCTCGACATAGGCATGCAGGAGGAGGCGGAGCGGCTGCAGCGGGCCGCGTGAGGGCCACTCCGAGCTGATAAAGACGGACGAGTTTGGGAGTTCCAGGGCATAAGCACAGGATACGGGCCAAGGGGAGGAGCAGTGCAACGCTGGTAAAGCCAGCCCCGCGCGCGCACCAGTGTTGGAAAACAATGGCAGAGTCTCAACCTCGGAGACCGAGGACGCCTCCGTGCCTCCAGATCTCGCCTCCTCCAGCCCTATACCTGGTGTTTATTCTTCCACTGCCCAATAAACATTCATGGAAGACTTTAAAAAAAAAAAAAAAAATTGAATAAAACCCAAGAAAATGCCATAATTAAATAAAACCTTAATTAAAACTTTTAGTACCTTTTTGTATGGTGACTATGAAGTAAAATATGATGTTCAGGAGAAAGGACCTCTTGTTGTCTTCCTCCAACACAATTACCTTGTTTTAAATCTCGTTTGTCAAAACAGCGCTTATTAAGTAGTTTATTTCCTCCTTAATTCACCAAGAACATCAATACGGCAGGCATGAACACCCAGCAATAAGCAAATAAAAGCTTAACTACATTATTCCCAGAACAGTGTGAAATGATTCTGCTTTGGGCTAACAAATACTTTCTGTAAAGGGGGAGACAGTAAACATTTGAGCCTCTGAGAGCCATGTACCTCCTGTTGTAATTACTCAACTCTGCCACTGTAGCACCTAAAGGTCACACAGACAATCCACCAACAAGTAAATGTGGTTGTATGCAATAAAACTATAAATGCTGAAATGTGACTTTCATGATTCTCACGTATCACAAAATATCTTTTTTTCCCCAACCATCAATAAATATAAAAACTGTTCTTAGCTCACAGGCTGAATAAGTAATTTTGGTGGCAAGCCAAATTTGGCTCCTTGAGGCTAAACCTGATCTAGTCCAATAAATCTCTTTAATAATCTTAGGAACACTACTTAAAGCAGTTCTTCATTTAAGATTGTTTATTCTAATTTAAGCTCCTTTAGGTCAAATTGTAGGTGTCAACATGATTTACTGGCCAAATCCAGCCAATTGTTCTATTTCATTATTTTTATTTTTTGAGATGGAGTCTCGCTCTGTCACCCAGGCTGGAGTGCAGTGGTGTGTTCTCAGCACACTGCAACCTCTGCCTCCTGGGTTCAAGCAATTCTCCTGCCTCAGCCTCCCATGTAGTTGGGACTACAGGCACATGCCACCACACCCAGCTAATTTTTGTATTTTTTTAGTACAGGTGAGGTTTTGCCGTACTGGCCAGCCTGGTCTTGAACTCCTGACCTCATTATGATCTGCATGCCTAGGCCTCCCAATCCTCCCTCACGCCTACGATTATAGGCGTGAGCCACTGCGCCTGGACTTTTCTTTTTTCTTGAGGGAGAGTCTTGCTATGTTACCCAGCTGGAGTGCAGTGGTGCAATCTCAGTTTACTGCAACTTCCACCTCCTGGGTTCATGCAATTCTCCTCCCTCAGCCTCCGAAGTAGCTAGAACTGCAGGTGTACACCACCATGCTCGGCTAATTTTTGTATTTTAGTAGAGACAGGGTTTCACCTTGTTGGCCAGGCTGATCTTGAACTCCTGACTTGAACTCCTGAGTTGATCCACCCAATTCAGCCTGACTTGAGTCCTGACTTGAACTCCTGAGTTGATCCACCCAACTCAGCCTCCCAAAGTGCTGGGATTACTAGCATGAGCCACCGTGCCTGGCCTCAGCCAGTTTTTTTATTTCTGAGCTATAATTCGTATGACAGTAGAGACTTAAAATATAGCTGTGATAAAGCAATAAAATTGTTTCATTAGCATCATAAGACTGGGTAAATAAATAAATAAAGTTTCAGTGGCTCACGCTTATAATCTTAATACTTTGGGAGGCTAAGGTGGAAGGACTGCCTGAGCCCAGGAGTTCAAGACCAGCCAGGACAACACAGTGAGACCCCATCTCTACAAAAAATTTTTTTAAATTAGCCAGGCATGATGTTGCACACTTGTGTTCCCAGCTACTTGCGGAGGCTTAGGGAGGAGATCACCAGGAGGTTGAGGATGCAGTAAGCCATGATCATGCCACTGTACTCCAGCTCGGATGACAGAGTAAGACTCTGTCTCAAAAATAAAATCAAATTTTAAATTTACAAGATATAAATAGTCATGAGTAAAACAATTACTCATATTTTTTGAGACAGAGTCTCATTCTGTCACCCAGGCTGGAGTGCAGTGGCATGATCTAAGCTCCTCTGCCTTCCCAGTTCAAGTGATTCTCCTGTCTCAGCCTCCTGAGTAGCTAGGACTACAGGCGCCTGACACCATGCCTGGCTAATATTGTATTTTTAGTAGAGACGTGGTTTCACCATGTTAGCCAGGATGGTCTCGACTCCTGACCTTGTGATCCACCCTCCGAGGCCTCCCAAAGTGCTGGGATTACAGGTGTCAGCCACTGCTCCCAGCCTTGATTTTTAATAAATGTAATTTAAGTGAAACCCATCCCCTTCAATGTAGCAACCTTACTGGCCGTTATGAATCCTCAAACAATTATAGAACTGAATTCCCAGGCTATGGATATGTTCTTTTACCTATATTGTGGAAAATTTTTTTTCTGAAGATGGATGTCAATGATTTTTGAAAAAGCCACAGTTGTTCAGAGTTAAGCCTGAAAGATGATTAGTAAATCGGCTTATCCTACTTGAGGCTTATAATCTAGTCTGGAAGAAAAAATCAAAAGAGATCTCAAAAGGTTGTAAGCAATGAAGAAAGTAAATGGCTTTTTAAGGTGACTACTAAAAGAAAAATGTTTGTGTGGCTATTTAAATTCTGGTATGTATTAAAAGTTAGTCTCATCAAATTACATACAAGAATCCTTTCACTTAGAAAACACAAAGTTTTTCAAAGTATGTAAACCTTTTACAGACTGTTACCTAATGTCATCAGAGCAGCAATCAGCAACCATCCAGCTTGTGTGCGCTGAGCTGAAAGGCGACTGTTTTGAGCAGCAGAACACAGCAAATCCTCTGCTAATGTCATAATAATCTATTTACATACAGAAGAACAAGTTTTAAAAAAAGCATGTCAATTTTTAAATTACTAAATGATAGCAGCTAATAATCTCTTGAAAAATTAATTCTTACATAAAATAAATGTAAGTAATAAATAATTGTCATTCATGTAGACTACATAATAGGACTGTCATAAAGGAAACTATAAAAAATTAAGTTTTCAAGGTTAAATACTGGTATAAGAGGTAGTACACAACAATCCCATAATCTTTTGTAAAGCACATGTGACAACAATGTAAGATTATTCAAGTATAGCTGTATAGATTTGAATTTACATAGTTTTAAGCAACTATATTTTTAAATAAGTAATTACTCAAAAAAAAGTTTTCTTACAGGAGTCTCTCTCTTAAAAATGCTACATACTACTTTTATACTTCTGGGCTGATAACAGTTTTCTGAGAGGTAGTATACCATAGTGGTTAGAGGTAGTCAAAACAGTGTCACACTGAAGAGTAAGATTTATTAAAATGTTATAGTTAAAGAAAGTCTACGAGGCTGGGCACAGTGGCTCATGCCTATAATCCCAAAGACTCAGAAGGCCAAGGTGAGAGGATCACTTGAGGCCAGAAGTTCAAGACCAGCCTAGGAGTGAGCTAGGATCACAACACTGTGCTGCAGCCTGGGCAACAGAGCAAGACCATGTCTCTTTGCAAAAAATAAATTAATTAATTAAAATTAAAAAAAAAAATGACCAGCCTGGTCAACAGAGTGAGACCCTATCTTTACAAAAAAAATTAAAAAGAATTAGCCAGGCATGGTAGTATGCGCCTGTAGTTTCAGGTACTTGGGAGGCTGAGATGGGAAGATTGCTTGAGCTCTGGCATTGGAGGCTGCAGTGATCTATGATCTCACCACTGCACTCTGGCCTAGGTGACAAAGCAAGACCCTGTTTAAAAAAAAAAAAGAAGTAGTTCATGAAATAGGCAGTGTTATAAAACAATAGAGAGGAAGAACCAGACATTTCACATTTATGGATAATGTATGCTTACGTAGTACAAAGGCCAGAGAACATCTAATATGAGAAAACATCTACTACCAATCACCACTGAAAAAGCATTAAGTATTACAAGTTGGCATATAAATTTTCTAAAGAGGAAGGCTAGCGTATTTTAAAACAGCCAACCAACTTACTACTAATTTAGGATTCCCTGCAGCTTATATAACCAATAGGGAGCACTCAAAGAGTGGGGACAAAACAAACCATTCTAGTCAAATCAGAACAAGTCAATATTCTCTCAGAAAGAAATTCCTAATATAATACGGGAATGGGAACCTTGTCTGAATTAATGTGATCTGAGGATAGTTTTAATTAAACATATTCAATGACAAGTCTTTGCTCAGCAAGATGTGGTATGTTAAGAATATAACTAAAATAATTAATTTAAATAAATAATCTCAAGTTGTCAACTGCCTGATTTCAACAGCACTGGCAATACTCAAAATTTTTTGGAATTGCTCAAGTTATGGAATGGTCTTTTGCAGAGCCTACACTGTGGAGGACATACAATCAAATTCCATAATGACACAGGCATGGCAATGAGAAAGAAAGGAATAATGGTGACGTATTTTTCAAATATATTTATGAGTTTGTGAGAGGTATGGGTTGTAAGGGCTTCTACTGTAAAATAATATTCTCTTGACAACTTACATTTCCTAGCTATTAAAAAAGAGACAAAATTCAAACACCATGCTTGCCTATGTTGTATTATCTACGTTTTATTAAAGAATTTTTTTTCTTAATTCTCTTCAAAATTCTTTGTATGTTAAAACTGGGTTATTTATTCACTAGGTTTCTATCATTTATTTGTCTGGAAGTGCTGGATTTTAAATTTACTCAGAAAATGACATTTTTTGGTAGGAATACAATTGGGCAGTTGAATATCATTATGAATGCATGAAATTTGATATATTATCTGGTATGCTTTAATTCGTTGTAGTAATTATTAATTTTGATGTATGTATCATGCAGTCTTTGGTCAGTGGGAGCCCCTTAAGTTACCTCCTTTTAAAATGAACACAGTATTCCTTGATGACGTCCTTACTTTCTGGCATGACAAAATACCCATGTTTACATTGGGGATTTCCCGCCCCAGATCTGAAACCAGCTACTGCTCCATGGAGTCCTGATTCCTTTTTCTTTGCAAACAGTATTTAGAGCTACAATCTGGGCACTAGGGGTGTTCCTGACACTGGGTTATCATTGCGCTTAGGCCTTTTCACTGTACAAAAAGAGGATATAAATATTTTTGAAAAAAATAAAATGAGTTCATACTGATAATTTCAATTCAAATCTAATGTATGGGAATTTTACTTAACTTCAATTCTACAGTTATAGCTCTTTTTACTTATATTGAAAATGTTGGTTCCCAAGAACATTACCATAATTATTTATCTACTTTATCTTATGATATGTAAATAATTTTAAAGTAGTATCACAATACACCACTAACTAAATTATCAAATATTAAGCTTAATTATTAAAAGATTTCTTTTGCAGCTCTATTTACCCTCTACAACAAAATTTTAAATGTACTTATATATGGCAGGGCTACATATACAGTAAAATAAAGCATTTGGTAACAAATTCTGTTACTATGTGAAGATACTTCTAACGAAAAGTACCTCATTACTTTACATAGAGAATGAAATTATTACCTTGCCTTTTCCATGAGGAATTCCTAAAGGGCAATGTTTTACTGCTCCCAACAAAGCTGCCACAGCAAAACTAAAGCCAGTTACTGTTTCAGGTGAAGCCTTTAGTCCAGTAAGCCGTTCAAGGCAACGATCCAAGAGAGGTGTTAGGCAGGAAGGTAATGCCACGGCAATGCAGTGTAAACACCAAGCTGCTGCTAGTCGAACAGAAATGCTAGGATGAGGAATAACTGACAAGATACTTTCAAGAAGGCCTGGAAAAATAGAATAAACAAATGATGACTTAGGTGCACAGATAAAACTCACCTGAGTATAAAATAGTCAAAAGAATATATAGCTACACAGATATATATTTTTATCAAGAGCCAAATTATAATAGAAAAATACATAATTACAAATAATTTTCTTTTTCTTTTAATTTCATTTTTCTTCCTTCTCACCATTCCTATTCAAAATAATTTTTAACCTAAGAATTACTTCTACTAATATATCTAATGAAAATTGCCCTAAATTAAGTCCGTATACAAAAGAAAAACTTTATTTCCTAAATAAGCCAATTGCCTATTTTAGCTTCAGATAGACTATTAATTTGGTACTAAATTATCAATAAATAACATGTTGAAAAGAAATGTTATACCCTGGCCAGGTGTGGTGGCTCAAACCTGTAATCCCCACACTTTGGGAGGCCAAGGCGGTGGATCGCCTGAACTCAGGAATCTGAGACCAGCCTGGGCAACATGACAAAACCCTGTCTCTGCCAAAAATACAAAAAATTAGCCAGGCATGGTGGCACATGCCTGTGGTCCCCGCTACTAGAGAGGCTGAGGTGGGAGGATCACTTGAGCCAGGGAGGTGGGTGAGCCAAGAATGTATCACTTACTGTACTCCAACCTGGGTGACAGACTGAGACCCTGCCTTGAAAAAAACAAAGAAAAAAAAGTCACACCCTGCCCCTGTTTTATTTTTTAAACCTTCTAGTACATTTATCTACATAATTTTTCTTTTTTTTTTTGAGACAGAGTCTTGCTCTGTTGCCCAGGCTGGAATGCAGTGGCACAATCTTGGTTCACTGCAACCTCCACGTGCCGGGTTCAAGTGATTCTCCCACCTCAGCCTCCTGAGTAGCTGGGATCACAAGCGCATGCCACTGCACCTGGCTAATTTTTGTTTTTGTAGAGACGAGGTCTCACCATGTTGGCCAGGTTGGTCTTGAACTCCTGACCTCAGGTAATCCACCCACCTCAGCATCCCAAAGCACTGGATTATAGGCATGAGCCACCGTGCTCAGCCTATATAATTAATATACTTTCTATCTACCATGTTGCTCTTCTAAGAGCAAAATGTTAAAATCAAGGTTTTGCTGGGTCCTTAGTGGGCTACTAATCATGTAACAACAAAGACAGTGAAATAATTGCCACCATCATTTTAAAACATGCTATATTTGCTGTGATTCAACATAAATCTTCATCAAACATATGTCTCATGTTAAATGCTATTTAAATAAGTGCCCAGATCTAATCTAAATCGCGTATAAACACAAATATAAAGTTTCTCAGTTAAAAGGAAATGTGTACCACAAAGGATAAAAGCCATAAAAAATGATCTATTTGATATGTTTTTTTGAAACAGAGCCTCACTCTGTCACCCAGGATGGAATGCAGTGGCATGATGATAGCTCACTGCTGCCTCAATCTCCTGGGCTTATGTGATAAACCTGCCTCAGCCTCCCAAAGAGCTGGGACTACTACAGGTGCACACCACCATGCCTGGCTAAGTTTTAAAAAAATTTTTAGTAGAGAGGAGTTCTCATTATGTTGCCCAGGCTGGTCTTGAACTCCTGAGCTCAAGCAATTCTCCCATCTTGGCCTCCCAAAGTGTTGGGACTATAGGTGTGAGCCACCATACCTAGTCTAAAAAATGATTTTTAAAAGTGATTTTTAGAAAGAAGCCAGTCAGTAATGACCACATATTGAATTATTTTTTTTAACGTGAAATATCTGGAATAGGTGGATTCATAGAGACAGAAAGTAAATTCATGGTCGTCAGGGGCGAGGGGACAGGAAAATGGGAATGACAACTAATGGACTTCTTTCTGGGGTAATGAAAAGACTCTGGAATTAGACAGTGGTAGTGGCTGTACAGTATAGCAAATATATTCAAAAACACTGAATTATATTCCTTATAAGTATACACTTCATGGTAAGTGAATTCTTTCTTTCTTTTGAGACAGTCTCTGTTCTGTTGCTCAGGTTGGAGTGCAATGGCATCATCTTGGCTCACTGAAACCTCTGCCTCTGGGGCTCAAGTGATTCTCGTGCCTCACCCTCCCAAGTAGCTGGGATTACAGGCATGTGTCACCATGCCTGGTTAATTTTTGTATTTTTAGTAGAGATGGGGTTTTGCCATGTTTGCCAGGCTGGTTTTGAACTCCTGACCTCGAGTAATCTACCCACCTTGGCCTCCTCAAATGTTGGGATTACAGGCAGGAGCCACTGTGCCTAGTTGTGAATTATATCTTAATAAAGCTATTATAAAGTGATTAAATAACTTTTTAAAAAAAGAAAAAAACACTGCTTGAAAGACCTTTGAGGAACTGAATTACCTGTACTGTACTTATGTTTTCACTGCAAATGCAGAGTGTTCAGGTTTACTTCTCTGTAAGTTTTTCTATGTTATAGGTCTCTAGAATCGGGCGTGGGGTGGAGACTTAGAGAACAATATTTAATTATGAAAGGAAAAAAACTAAACAATGTACATATTTTTAATAATCCTGATTATAAATTTTTCATAAAACATCTCTAATAAATCTATAATGGAATCTCTAAGTCAGCTATATGAAGATTTCCTTCCTTGGAACAAAGTTATCTAGTGTACAAGGGAAACCAAGGTGTTCAAATGAGTCACAAAGAACAGATATACCTGTACTTGAATCCTGTAGCAAAGGTGCCACTGTGGTACCAAGACTGTATATGAGATTTCCAAGTTCTTGCAAAGCACAAACCAGCATATGCTGGCTAGCTGCTACATCTGTGGAACCAAGCCGGGTATCCAAATTACCATCACTCATTACGGCATCTGATAGAAATGCAAGAATTAACTATGCATCACTACTGCATTAAAATATATTGAAAGGGGTGTGAAGAGTAAAAAAGTATAATGGGGAAAATTAATACACACACTTGATATGTATGAAATACTTGAGGCGATAATTAAAATGTTTAAATGGGGACTGGGATCAATAAAGAAAGAAATGAAGTACTATAACCAATTTAGTTCAAGCATTCCAATCAGAGATCCCATCTGTATTACTCCCATAGCAAGTGGCACTAAAAAAAAAAACTCATGGGAAACTAAAAATTATTTCAACATTACTGATACTTAATATCCAACATTACTGATATTCAAGATAGGCGGAGTAGAATTAAGATGGTACAGGAACTGAGACTGTTTCAAAAATAATTTATCTTAACTTTATAGGAAGTACAATCTGAATTCTGAAGAACTTCTATCAGCCTTCAAGGTTTCTGTATTAATACAGTATTATACATCAGTCTAGCTTTCCCAAAGGAACAATTCCATTAGCACTATTAAACAGTCTTAGTAGATCCATACCCATAACTTTCTTTAGCTTCCAGATGGCCTGGAAAATATCCTTTACAGCAGCAAGTTGAGCCTTTTCTCCAAGTAGACCTCCTATAGTAGTTCGAAGAATAAATGAAACACAACGGCGACAGCAGACAGCATCAATCTGAGTTTGGGTAGTTTTAGGGTGTGACTGTGACACAAGGCTTAGGACATGAGAAAGAAAGGCAGCAAAATTTTTCTCTAGCCAAGCTCCTCCTAGTGTTGAAACAAATACCACATAAGCCTAAAAAGGAAAAGAATTTTATTTTCAATATTAAATTGCTTTAATTCTGTATTTTCCTCCCATAAAATATGCAGCATTTAGGGGAATGCTTTTCTTATTCCCTATAAATTTCGAGTGCCTAATTTATAGTCACTCAAAATATATAAACACAGCATCATTTTGTTTTTGTTTTAAGCCAGAACTGAAGTACATAGTCTTTCAAATTTATGTTACCTCCCTGATTTATTTTGGTCAGACTGTGCAGTTTCAGGATAGTCAGTATACCCAGCTAATAAGTAAAATGTGTCTGTGGCTTCTGTGAATGGCTCCAAGAGATTTAACATTCTGAACAAGAAATCTCAATTTAAAAATATAAACACATTATAAGAATTAACTATGCTCTAACACTATAACTCTAAGGGAATTTAGTTTTTTATTTTCATGTACATTAATGGTTTGTCAGAGATAAAAAGTCAAGTCGTTTTCTTAAATAATCTGTTCCTTAGAAACATACGGTTTAATTACAATTATATGGGAAGCTCATTTTTTCATGAAGACTATATACAGTATAAAATAATTATGATATATGTGAATTTTTCAAAAGTACAAGTTTGCTTTGAACCATACAGTGTTTAGAAAAAAGAGAATCCAAAGAAAAAAGGCAGTTATCTCTGTATTGTTTTATTGTAAAATAACTTTTCCAAGAGTTTGCCCTCTTAAAATTTGTTTAGGACCAAAAATGTAAGCACTGAAGAAAACTACATGCTGTAATCCTTAAGGGTTAAAATAATATAAAATGGTTACTTCACCCATGCTAAACAATATGTACCTAATAGATTAAATCTGAACTGTATGAACACAAATAAATACAATGGAAAACACGTTAAACCACAAGACACATAAAAGCACAAGAGCTAGAAACAAAAAATGTTTGTGTTTCAAAGAAAATTAAAATGTTTCATTATTAGCAACTTAAAACAGATGATAGGTTCTCTTACTTCTACCCTAGTTTTAAAAAAATGTTTTGTGCTGAGCGCGGTGGCTCATGCCTGTAATCCTAGCACTCTGGGAGGCTGAGGGGGGTGGATCACGAGGTCAAGAGATTGAGACCATCCTGGTCAACATGGTGAAACCCCATCTCTACTAAAAATACAAAAAATTAGCTGGGCATGGTGGCACGTTCCTGTAATCCCAGCTACTCAGGAGGCTGAGGCAGGAGAATTGCCTGAACCCAGGAGGCAGAGGTTGCGGTGAGCCGAGTTCACGCCATTGCACTCCAGCCTGGGTAACAAGAGTGAAACTCCGTCTCAAAAAAAAAAAAAAAAAAAATTTGGCCTTATCGTTTATACTTATTTATAGATATGAGAGCATAGATGACCTTGCATAGTGCCATTTCTGTGGAGGCAGATACTAAAACTTCCATTATACACCAGTCAGAGTTAGATTTACATACTGATTTGTGATTTCTAACCTGAGTAACTCCAACTCGAACATCCCTACTGACTGAACTGGTTCCTTTCAGCATATCTCCACTGGCTCGAAGAAATCCTGAACTTCCACGTAGAAACCCTGTTCCTAGTAATTCCAGAACTTCCTCCAGAGATACTCTGCGAATGCTTTGACGTGAGGCTGCTATGACAAGGAACAAAACAAAACTGTGATTCGTATTTTATAGACTAAATTTTAATACATGTTCTTGATTTGCAAAAAGCCAGCACGTTAATAGAAACTAAAATAAAAACTCAAACAAAATGCAAAATTTACAGAACAGTCTACACAGTAATACACAAAGTCACACAAGCTTTCACAGGTCAAATCTCAAATCAGAATGGACCCTGAAGTGCACGTCAAAAACATCTTAAAGACTATGACTAAGATCATGATCTATTGCTGCCTTTCCTCAAAGAAGTTAACACTGTCTTCTAAAACAGGGGAAAATATAAATAAGACTGCCTTAGTCCTCCACAAATGAAAATGCTGTACAATGCTTTGAAAAAATTCTTCTGAAACACTGAAAATGCCAAAATCATAATTTTATTTTTCCAAATGCTGTACAACTCTCAAAGAAATTCATATAAACTAACCACCATGTCCTATTTTTAAAATTATCTATTGGCAATACAACTTTTGCTATTCCTTCAGTCTCTGAAGAAATCAAAGCTAAATTCATTAAAACTACTCGGCTGGCTCTTAGGCTACAATAACTAAGAGATTAATTAGGGCAGAATGTTTAAGACTGACTGCTGTTTGACATAGCTGGGTTTCTCCCTGTGAATATACAGACAATAGTATCTCCCTAAAAAAAAATAATTTTCTCCCTTGAAAATTAATGGTCACAAGCTCTGACCCTCTAGAAGAGTACAGAAATAAACTTTTGTTATAATTATAAACCAAAAAACCTATTCCCTAGCGTAAAGAAAACAATCTGAGACAAACAAAAATCTAACCTGGCATTTGGGAAAGACACATTATTGAAGAGTACAAAATCCATGCTCTGTGGATCATAAATTCTAAGAAAAGACAACAATACATGTAATAAATGACTAATAAATACATTAAACAGTGATTAAAAACCATGTAGAAAGTAGAGCAAAATGAGGTCAAGAATACCGGGGTGGAGGAAAGTGCAGTTTGTGACTTGAAATAGGATTATTGGAGTAAGATAGATTGAAACAGTGGCATTTTAACAGTTTCAATGTAGGAAAGAAATTGGTCATGAGGGTATCTGCAGAAAAAGTGTTCTAGGCAAAGGAAACATCTATGACATCCTATTTATATGATGCCAGGTGAGTTGACACAGAGCAATGTGGATGGAGCAGGGGAGGGGGTATGTAGGAGACAGGTCAGAGTGTAAGGATGGGGAGGGGGCAGAAGATATAGGACCTTGTAGGTCATTATAATAAGGCTGTGACTGAAATGAGGTACCAGGGGAGGACCCTGAGGAGACGAGTAATATCACCTGTCATTCTGCTGCTGTGTTGAGAGCAGATTGTAGAGGTGGGTAAAGGCAGAAGCAGGAAAAACCATTAGGAGTGATTTATTAATTTAAGCAAGAGATGATAGTGACTTGGATCAAGGTGGTTAATGTGAAGTGGAGTGAACAGAATCTGGATATACATAAATATATATTTTAAACTTTTTACTAGAAAAAACTAAAAAATTAGAAAAAAGCTGTAAGAATAGTATAAAGTTCCATACATAGTCATGTACCACATAAGGACATTTTGTTCAATGACAGATCACATATACGATGGTGGTCCTGTAAGATTACAATGGAGCTAAAAAATTCCTTTTGCCTCATGGCATTCCAACACATTACTCACATGTCTGTGATGATACTAATGTAAACAAACCTACTAGACTGCCAGTCATGTAAAAGTATAGCACATGCAATTATGTAAAGTATATACTACTTAATAAACAATTGTTATTGGTTTATGTATTCACTGTATTTTTATCATTATTTTAGCGTATACTTCTACTTATAAAAAGTTAAGTGCAAAACAGCTTCAGGTAGGCCCTTTAAGAAGTATTCCAGAAGAAGGCATTGCTATCACAGGAAACTACAGCTCCATGTGAGTCACTGCCCTTGAAGATCATCCAGTGGGGCAAGATGTGACAGTAGAAGACAGTGAGATTAATGGTCTGACTCTGTGTAGGCCTGGGCTAATGTGTGTTTGAAAGTTAAAAAAAAAATTTTTTTTTTAACAGAATAAAGCTTATAGAACAAGGATACAAGGATATAAAGAAAATATTTTTGTATGGCTGTATAATGTATCTGTGTTTTAAGCTAAATGTTATTATTTTGAGGGCAGTGGCATGATCTCAGCTCAATGAAACCTCTGCCTCCCATGTTAAAGGGTTTAAGTGATTTTCATGCCTCAGCCTCCTGAGTAGCTGAACTACAGGCGCACACCACCACGCCCTGGCAATTTTTGCATTTTTAGTCGAGACAGGGTTTCACCATGTTGGCCAGGCTGGTCTTGAACTCTTGACCTTAAGCAATCTACCTGTCTGAGCCTCATATGTGTGCCATTTTTTATCTTTTATATCATATTTATACTATACTCTTTTCTATGTTTAAACACGTTTAGATACACAAATACCATTGTATTATAGTTGTCTCAGTATTCAGTACAGTAATATGCTGTACAGGTATGTAGCCTAAGAGCAATAGGCTACACCATATAGCGTAGTGTGCAGTAGGGTATACCATGTAGATTTGCGTAAGTTCACTCTACAATGTTCCCACAATGACAAAATCACCTAATGATGCATTTCTCAGAATACGTCCCTATTATCAAGCTATGCATGACTGCACCTTTAACCTAGACTCATCGTGTTTTCCTCACTACTTTCTCACTTCTGAAGAATACACTTATGGCCAGTTGTTTTCTAGAATGGCCCTTGGTATGAGTTTGTCTGGCATTTCCTCCAAATTTGTGACAGAGAACTACAAAAGTGATGTTATATCCTCTTAATGCATAACATCAAAAACCACTTCCAGGTGTACTTCAAGTCTGACCCTACATAGGTGATACCAGCTTTGAACATTTGCACAAAGTTAAGTCTGTCACATTTTTCCACTGTAAAATTATCATTTATAATTACAATCTAACGTGTGTGGCAATACTTTAAGATGGCATGAGATTGAGTAAGACCACAAGGCATGCTTTCTTTCCTTCCTTCTCACTGGAAATTTCTGTTCTGTCTTCTTTGATAGTTCCTTGTCTTCTTCCAGAGAAAACTTATGGCCTAGTACCTGGTCTGCTCTTCTCTAGGTATACTCACCATCTTGTGGTCTTATTCAATCTCACGGCTTAAATTCTATTTCTATATTACAGATTCCTAAATAATCACTACTAATTTATTCCTAAAATAAATCCAATCTCATGGCTTAAATTCCATGTCTGTATTAATGATTCCTGAACGATCACTATTAATTTATTCCTAAAATTTATGAATTTGATGTCCAGGTTTCTCTCCTTGACACCAGATTTTCATATCCAGCTGCCTATTTGATATCTCTATTTGGATGTCTAGTTAATGTTCCAAATTGTTTTAAGTGCTTGATCCTCCTCTCTGACACATATATATGCCTGCTCTACTTGCATACTTGCTCGTATAAGTTGATGACAACTCTGTACTTCCCATGTTTTTAGCCCAAAATTCATAAAGTCACTTTGACTCTCTCACACTCAGCATATATTCTATTTTACTATTGAAAACATTCAAAGGCAGAACTCCTTGGAAAAATGGCTAATTCTGGGGTTGAGGCAGAGAAAGTAGTAAGCAGTGACTGTACCACCGCATTACACCCTGGGTGACAGAGTGAGACCCTGTCTCCAAAAACAACAACAACAACAAAAATCACTAACATGGCTGGGCGCAGTAGCTCAAGCCTGTAATCCCAGCATTTTGGGAGGCTGAGGCGGGCAGGTCACCTATCATCAGGAGTTCAAGACCAGTCTGGCCAGCATGGTGAAACCCTGTCCAATGAAAAATACAACAATTAGCCAGGTGTGGTGGCACATGCCTGTAATCCCAGCTACTCAGGAGGCTGAGGCAGGAGAATCGCTTGAACCTGGGAGGCAGAGGTTGTGGTGAGCCGAGATTGCGCCACTGTACTACAGCCTGAACATCAAGAGCAAAACACTGTCTAAAAAAGAAAAAAATCACTAACACAAAGCAAAACTGTCCAAATATAATAAACTTCAAATATCTAGAATTATCTACGTTATATGTTTTGTTGTACCAACCTAAAAAATGGCAAAACAAATATATGTAGTCAGATGTATGCTGCTTTAAAAAAAAATTTCAGTATTTAGGTCATATCTTTTATTGGATAACACTTCACAATTACTTAAAAAAAAAAAAAAAAGGCCATGGCTGGGGCGCAGTGGCTTACACCTACAATCCCAGCACTTTGCGGGGCCAAGGAGGGCAGATCGCCTGAGCTCAGGAGTTTGAGACTAGCACGGCTAACATGGTGAAATCCCATCTCTACAAAAAATATAAAAAATTAGCTGGGCATGGCAGTGCAAGCCTGTGGTCCCATCTATTCAGGAGGCTGAGGTGGGAGGATCACTTTAGATCAACAGGCAGAGGTCACAGTGAACTGAGATGGCACCACTGCACGCCAGCCTTGGTGACAGAGCGAGACCCTGTTACATACACAAAAAAGCCATAATGTAAAAGGAAGCACACCACACTTCAAGAGTTCTTGTAAATTTTAATTTCAGGACCTACATCAATGTTTATGAATTGAAATTGATTTTTTCTTTTGAGATGAATTCTCTCTCTGTTGTCCAGGTTGCAGTACAGTGGAACAATCTCAGCTCACTGTAACCTCTGCCTCCTGGGTTCAAGCCGTTCTCCTGCCTCAGCCTGCCGAGTAGCTGGGATTACAGGCATGTTTCACCACACCCAGCTAACTTTGGTATTTTTAGCAGGGATGAGTCTCACCATGTTGGCCAGACTGTTCTCAAACTCCTGACCCATCTTGGCCTCCCAAAGTGCTGGGATTACAGGCATGAGCCACCATGCCCGGCCTAAAATTGATTTATAATGAGTAGCACTATATATACTTGTTTGTATCAACTGGGAAAAAGAAATTATAGAAGATAGTCTAAAAATAATTACATGTATTTACCTGTTCCTGGATGTTTAGAAATTGTAGCTTTAGCTAATATTGTGCCTAGTAGCTTCGAAACAGAAATCCGCACATCATAATTGGAACCTTCAAAGGACTTAAAACACAGTGTGGCTACACTGTCCAGGTCCGTACTCCACATAAAGATGGCTTCATTCTGAAGTTCAAGGAGACACTATTCAATTGGACAAACAGAAATTAATGAAAAATAAAATACAGATGTTAGGTTCAGAGCTATATAAGTTGCAGAAACTATCAGGGTCTAAATTATACACAAATTCAAAATATCTATTATGATTATAGGACAACAAATTAATATTTATTAAAAGTCATAAAGATTATATTACAGAAGAGAATGAACTTAGAAAGGTGGGAGGAGAACCCACTTCTAACTGCATAGCTTATGAAAAATGCCTTTAGAATCAATGTGTTGGCTATGAAAAACTGGGAGAATAATTCTAACATTAAAAAACTTTATTGTATTTTCTAAGCAACTATGTTAAGAGGGTATAAATTAAAAATAAAATAGGCCTGGCATGGTGGCTCATGCCTGTAATCCCAGCATTCTGGGAGGCTGAGGCTGGCGGATCATGAGGTTAGGAGTTCAAGATCTGTCTGGCCAACATAGTGAAACCTCATCTCAACTAAAAATACAAAACATCAGCCAGGTGTGGTAGTGTGCACCTGTAATCCCAGCTACTCGGGAGGCAGGAGAATCGCACGAACCTGGGAGGTGGAGGTTGCAGTGAGCCCAGATCATGCTACTGCACTCCAGCCCAGGTGACAGTATGAAACTCCATTTCAAAAATATATACATATAAAATAAAAAATAAAACAAAAAATCACTTTAAAACAACATAAACCTCACATGTAAATTTTAATTTACACAATTAAGGAGAAAAACATAGCAGAGTAATCAATACTTAAGATTCTGGAAACCTGACCTTCGTATCCTGGGTAACTACCAAGATCATATAGCTTTTACTAACGCTTTCACAAAGATAATCTGATTTAATTTTCTTTAAATTAATTTTAAAAGTCTGCTTATTAGATCATCTTACCTTTGCAGCAGCACAACGAACAGCCATGGATCTATCTGTTAAGCAGGATCTAGCAACTTTATAAACATCCCTGTGACAAGGTGCAGCGGCAGCTCCCAGTCCATTTAATATATTTTGCAGACTTAGCATAATCTCATATCGACCTTGAGACTACCAAAATGAAAAAAAAATTAAACAGAAAAAATAATTTCACTCAAAGAACAGGATTAAACATTGATATTGGTCTCTCATGCTAAATACAGATTCTACACATATTAACCAACCCATTCTGACAAGAAACAATAATTACTATTTTATAAAGTATTATTTGAAAAGTTATTTGTATATCATGTTGAATTTCAACATGATACAAATTTCACAGGATTGATGTGAAGATTAAACAAAATTATATGAAAAGTGCCTAGGACAAAGCTTGCATGCCATTAAGCATTCAATAAACAGCTGCTATAGTCTAAGCTAACCTATTAAAAATGCAGGGTCTGGGAGGGGAATCAAGATGGCGCTGTGAGAACAACCCAGGATTGGAGCCCGCGTTGAATTCGCAAACGGTGAGTCAGTGCTGCATTTCCAGACTGATCTTTGTTGCCCACAGAACGGGGAAACTCCCAAGTATAAAAAGACACGGGACGCCAGGCAGTAGGTCTGCCTGGCAAAGCCGGCAGCCGGGGCGGCGGCGGCCGGCCCTACCCAGCAATCCCCACAGGGCGCGCTTGTCCGGGTGCCTTGTTGAACCGGCAACCTGAGACTTGAGAGGGCTGGACTTGAGACTGAACGAGACTTGCACAGTAGCCCAGCCCAGGGGATTGCAGGGACAGGGACAGATCGTTTGGGATACCCAGTGGGACAAACAAAACCGCGATTTCAAACTATCCCGGGCAGACGGTCCGAGACGCTCTGTGGGGGAGGGGCGTCCACCACTACGGAGGCAACCTGCCCCAACTGATATACACGCCCACTGCTGAGGCAGCCAGCCGTTGCCGAGGCAACCCGCCCCAACTGAGATACACGCCCACTGCTGACGCAGCCAGCCGTTGCCGAGGCAACCCGTCCCTACTGAGATACACGCCCACTGCTGACGCAGCCTGCCGTTGCTGAGGCAACACGCTACAACGAAGAGACTCCGCCGCAGGGCGTGGCGGAGACCACAGCAGAGCCGGCAGGAACAGCGCCAATCACACAACAGCAGGGCGGAGCCTCGGCAGCCAAACAGTGGCTAGTCTGCCTTTGAGCTGGGCAGGACACCTGATCGGACATCCAAAAATAAAGCCCAAACCCCTCAACACAGAGCATTTGAGAAAAAAAAAAGGGTTGTTTAATGAGCTGTGTTGCAGCAGAATCAAACATAGCAGCCTAACAGCCCTGAATGAACAACAGAGTGCACAGCTCAGCAATTAAACCCCTATAAAGTACAAACTGTCTCCTCAAGCAGCTCCCTGACCCCTCTATATCCAAAAGACTGTCATTAGGCAGGCATCATCCTGGGACAAAGAGAGCAGAAAAAGAAACTGGTAGCATCCCTCGCTGTGCCACGGCTACTAGAGGTGCACCCCAGACAAGCAGGGTCTGGAGCGGACCTCAACAGTCGTACAGCGAAGGGGCTAGACTGGTAGAAGGAAAACCAAGCAACAGAAATACTTCATCATCAACATTCTGGGTGTCCACTCAGAGACCCAAACGAAAAGTCAGCAACTACCCAGACGACCAGCGGACAAATCCACAAAGATGGGAAGAAACCAGCGCAAAAAGGAGGAAAACACCCGAAACCAGAACACATCGCCTCCTAGAAAGGACCAAAACTCCTCACCAGCAAGGGAACAAAGCTGGACGGAGAATGACTGTGACGAAATGACGGAATTAGACTTCAGAAGATGGATAATGAGAAACTTTTGTGAGCTAAAAGATCATGTATTAAATCAATGCAAAGAAACTAAGAACCTTGAAAAAAGATTTGAAAAAAGATTCGAGGAAATGATAACAAGAATGGATACCTTAGAGAGGAATATGAATGAGTTAAAGGAGCTGAAAAACACAATACGAGAACTTCGCGAAGCAAACGCAAGTTTCAATAGCCGAATTGACCAAGCAGAAGAAAGAATATCTGAAGTCGAAGACCAACTCAATGAAATAAAACGAGAAACCAAGATGAGAGAAAAAAGCGCAAAAAGGAATGAACAAAGTCTCCAAGAAATGTGGGACTATGTGAAAAGACCTAACCTACGTTTGATAGGTGTACCAGAAGGGGACGAAGAGAATGAATCCCAGCTGGAAAATACTCTTCAGGACATCATCCAGGAAAATTTCCCCCACCTAGCAAGACAAGCCAACACTCAATTGCAGGAAATACAGAGAACACCACAAAGATATTCCGCAAGAAGAGCAACCCCAAGGCACATAATCGTCAGATTCAACAGGGTTGAAATAAAGGAGAGAATACTAAGGGCAGCCAGAGAGAAAGGTCGGGTCACCCACAAAGGGAAGCCCATCAGACTCACAGCAGATCTCTCGGCAGAAACACTACAAGCCAGAAGAGAGTGGGGGCCAATATTCAACATTCTTAAAGAAAAGAACCTTCAACCCAGAATTTCATATCCAGCCAAACTGAGCTTCAGAAGTGAAGGAAGAATAAAATCCTTTGCGAACAAGCAAGTACTCAGAGATTTTGTCACCACCAGGCCTGCTTTACAAGAGCTCCTAAAAGAGGCACTACACATAGAAAGGATCAATCAGTTCCAGCCATTCCAAAATCGCACTGAATGCTAAAGAGCTTCAACATAATGAAGAATCTACAACAACTAACAGGCAAAACAGCCACTTAGAATCAAAATGGCAGTATCAAATTCACACATAACAATATTAACCCTAAATGTAAATGGACTAAATGCACCAATCAAAAGACACAGACTGGCAAATTGGATAAAAATCCAAAACCCATCAGTGTGCTGTATCCAGGAAACCCATCTCACATGCAAGGATACACAAAGGCTCAAAATAAAGGGATGGAGGAAGATTTACCAAGCTAATGGAAAGCAGAAAAAAGCAGGAGTTGCAATTCTCATCTCTGATAAAATAGACTTTAAAGCAACAAAGATCAAAAGAGACAAAGAAGGCCATTACATAATGGTAAAAGGATCGATACAACAAGAAGAGCTAACGATCCTAAACATATATGGACCCAACACAGGAGCACCCAGATACATAAGGCAAGTTCTTAATGACTTACAGAAGGACTTAGACTCCCACACAATAATAGTGGGAGACTTTAACACTCCACTGTCAATACTAGACAGATCAACCAGACAGAAAATCAACAAGGATACCCAGGGCTTGAACTCAGACCTGGAGCAAGCAAACCTGGTGGACATTTACAGAACTCTCCACCCCAAATCCACAGAATACACATTCTTCTCAGCACCACATCACACCTACTCTAAAATTGACCACATAATTGGAAGTAAAGCACTGCTCAACAAATGCAAAACAACTGAAATCATAACAAACAGCCTCTCAGACCATAGTGCAATCAAGTTAGAACTCAGAATTCAGAAACAGACCCAGAACCGCACAGCTTCATGGAAACTGAACAACTGGCTCTTGAATGTTGACTGGGTAAACAACGAAATGAAGGCAGAAATAAAGAAGTTCTTCGAAACCAATGAGAACGAAGACACAACGTGCCAGAACCTCTGGGACACATTTAAAGCAGTCTCTAGAGGAAAGTATATAGCAATAAGTGCCCATATGAGGAGAATGGAGAGATCCAAAATTGACACCCTATCGTCAAAATTGAAAGAGCTAGAGGAGCAAGATCAAAAAAACTCAAAACCCAGCAGAAGACAAGAAATTACTAAGATCAGAGCTGAGCTGAAGGAGATTGAGACACGAAAAACCCTTCAAAAAATCAATAAATCCATGAGCTGGTTTTTTGAAAAGATCAACAAAATAGACAGACCACTAGCCAGATTGATTAAAAATAAAAGAGAGAACAACCAAATAGATGCAATAAAAAATGATAAAGGGGAAATCACCACAGATTCCACAGAAATTCAAACCATCATCAGAGAATATTACAAACAACTCTATGCACATAAACTAGTAAACCTGGAAGAAATGGATAAATTCCTGGACTCCTGTGTCCTCCCAAGCCTAAACCAGGAGGAAGCTGAAACTATGAATAGACCAATAACAAGGGCTGAAGTTGAGGCAGCAATTAAGAGCCTACCTCACAAAAAAAGCCCAGGTCCAGATGGGTTCACAGCCGAATTCTACCAGACACACAAGGAGGAGCAGGTACCATTCCTTCTAAAACTATTTCAAACAATCCAAAAAGAGGGAATCCTTCCCAAATCATTTTATGAGACCAACATCATCCTGATACCAAAACCCGGCAGAGACCCAACGAGAAAAGAAAACTTCAGGCCAATATCCATGATGAACATAGATGCAAAAATCTTCAATAAAATATTGGCAAGCCGATTGCAACAGCAAATCAAAAAACTTATTCATCATGATCAAGTAGGATTCATCCCAGGGATGCAAGGCTGGTTCAACATATGCAAGTCTAACAACGTAATTCACCACATAAACAGAACCAATAACAAAAACCACATGATTATCTCAATTGACGCAGAGAAGGCATTTGACAAAATTCAACAGCCCTTTATGCTAAAAACCCTCAATAAACTCGGTATCGATGGAACGTATCTCAAAGTAATAAAAGCTATTTATGACAAAGCAACAGCCAATATCATACTGAATGGGCAAAAACTGGAAGCATTCCCTTTGAAATCTGGTACTAGACAAGGATGCCCTCTCTCACCACTCCTATTCAATATAGTACTGGAAGTTCTAGCCAGAGCAATCAGGCAAGAAAAAGAAATAAAGGGTATTCAAATAGGAAAGGTGGAAGCCAAATTGTCTCTATTTGCAGACGACATGATAGTATACCTAGAAGACCCCATCGCCTCAGCCCAAAAACTCCTGAAACTGATAAACAACTTCAGCAAAGTCTCAGGATATAAAATCAATGTGCAAAAATCACAAGCATTCGTCTACACCAATAACAGACTTAAAGAAAGCCAAATCAAGAGCGAACTGCCATTCGCAATTTTTACAAAAAGAATAAAATACCTTGGAATACAACTCACAAGGAACGTAAGGGACCTCTTCAAGGAGAACTACAAACCACTGCTCAACGAAATCAGAGAGGACACAAACAGATGGAGAAACATTCCATGTTCATGGTTAGGAAGAATCAATATCGTGAAAATGGCTATACTGCGCAAAGTAATTTACAGAATCAACGCTATCCCCATCAAGCTACCATTGACTTTCTTCACAGAACTGGAAAAAACCACCATGAACTTCATATGGAACCAAAAGAGAGCCCGCATAGCCAAGTCAATTCTAAGCAAAAAGAACACAGCGGGGGGCATCACACTACCGGATTTCAAACTATACTACAAGGCTACAGTAATCAAAACAGCATGGTACTGGTACCAAAACAGAGATATAGACCAATGGAACAAAACAGAGGCACCGGAGGCAACACAACATACATACAACTATACAATCTTTGATAAACCTGACAAAAACAAGCAATGGGGCAAGGATTCCATGTTTAACAAATGGTGTTGGGAAAACTGGCTAGCCATGTGCAGAAAGCAGAAACTGGACCCCTTCCTGACACCTTACACTAAAATTAACTCCAGATGGATTAAAGACTTAAACATAAGACCTGGCACCATAAAAACTCTAGAAGGAAATCTAGGCAAAACTATCCAGGACATAGGAGTAGGCAAGGACTTCATGAACAAAACACCAAGAGCATTGGCAACAAAAGCCAAAATAGACAAATGGGACCTAATGAAACTCCACAGCTTCTGCACGGCAAAAGAAACAGTCACTAGAGTGGATCGGCAACCAACAGAATGGGAAAAAATTTTTGCAGTCTACCCATCTGACAAAGGGCTGATATCCAGAATTTACAAACAACTCAAGCAGATTTACAGGAAAAAAACAAACAAGCCCATTCAAAAGGGGGCAAAGGATATGAACAGATACTTTACGAAAGAAGACATATATGAGGCCAACAAACATATGAAAAAATGCTCATCGTCACTGGTCATCAGAGAGATGCAAATCAAAACCACATTGAGATACCATCTCACGCCAGTTAGAATGGCGATCATTAAAAAATCTGGAGACAACAGATGCTGGAGAGGATGTGGAGAAAAAGGAACACTTTTACACTGTTGGTGGGAGTGTAAATTAGTTCAACCATTGTGGAAGACAGTGTGGCGATTCCTCAAGGCCTTAGAAATAGAAATTCCATTTGACCCAGCAATCCCATTACTGGGTATATATCCAAAAGACTATAAATCGTTCTACTATAAGGACACATGTACACGAATGTTCATTGCAGCACTGTTTACAATAGCAAAGACCTGGAATCAACCCAAATGCCCATTGATAATAGACTGGATTGGAAAAATGTGGCACATATACACCATGGAATATTATGCAGCAATCAGAAATGATGAGTTCGTGCCGTTTGTAGGGACATGGATGAATCTGGAAAACATCATCCTCAGCAAACTGACACAAGAACAGAAAATGAAACACCGCATATTCTCACTCATAGGTGGGTGATGAAAAATGAGAACACATGGACACAGAAAGGGGAGTACTAAACACTGGGGTCTATTGGGGGGAAAAGGGGAGGGCCAGTGGGAGGGGGAGGTGGGGAGGGATAGCCTGGGGAGAAATGCCAAATGTGGGTGAAGGGGAGAAGAAAAGCAAAGCACACTGCCATGTGTGTACCTACGCAACTGTCTTGCATGCTCTGCTCATGTACCCCAAAACCTATAATCCAATAAAAAATTAAAAAAAAAAAAAAAAAAAAAAAATGCAGGGTCTGAGGCTAGGCGCATTGGCTCACTCCTGTAATCCCAGCACTTTGGGAGGTCGAGGCTGGAGGATCATGAGGTCAGGAGATTAAGACCATCCTGGCTAACTTGGTGAAACCCTGTCTCTACTAAAAATACAAAAAGTTAACTGCGCTTGGTAACACATGCCTGTATTCCTAGCTACTTGGGAGGCTGAGGCAGGAGAATTGCTTGAACCCGGGAAGTGGAGGTTGCAGTAAGCTGCGATTGCACGACTGCACTCCAGCCTGGGCCACAGAGCGAGACTCCGTCTGAAAAAAAAAAAAAAAAAGGCAGGGTCTGTCATTTCTGCCATTTACTAGAATTTATCAGATAGGACCTTGGGCAAATCTGTTTATTCATAAAAAAATAGAGGTAATAGAATCTACCTTGTAGGCTGTTGTAAGGAATAAATGAGTTATACATGCAAAGTGCTTACAACAACCCCAGACATACAACAAACGCTCAATAGATTTGGTAGCTATGTTATTTTATTAGCATTTTTTGGTTGGAATAGTTTAACTCACAATTTAAAAGTATTGGAATTCGAATTTTTAAAAACCTGGGTGTGAAATTTTCTGTGACCCTCAGTAACTTTGTGACTTTAAGTTGTTCTTACTTACTTCCTCATCTATAAAATGAGGGTAAGATGAACCTCATGGGTAAAATTCACCCCAATGCATAGCACACAGTAAACACTCAAAAAATTGCAGCTGCTTAGCTGGGCACAGTGGCTCACACCTGTAATCTCAGCACTTTGGAAGGCCAAGGTGGGCTGACTGCTTGAGCTAAGGACTTCATGACCAGCCTGAGAAACATGGTAAAACCCTAACTACAAAAAATTTTAGCCAGGCGTAGTGGTGTACACCTCTAGTCACAGCTACTTGGGAGGCTGAGGTGGGAGGATGGCTTGAGCCTGGGACACAGAGGGTGCAGTGGGAGGCAGAGGGTGCAGTGAGTTCAGATTGTACCACTGAACTTCAGCCTGGGTGACAGTACCAGACACTATCTCAAAAAGAGAGAGAAAAAAGAAAAAAATAGTAGCTGCTTATTTTATTAATGTTTTACTAAATGCCCCAAATCATATCTATATCCCACCCAGGAAGTTAAGGTCACCGAAGGTAGATAAAGTTGGAGGAAGACAAAGATCAGCGTCAAGAATCATTTCATAGTAATACCATTAAAAGGCACTTAAAAGTCATAGGTGAACATAATAAAATGGTGCTAACAAGAAACTTCTGAACTTAACTTTTATTCCAGTTTCAAATATTGTGTATCACTGGTGGATATGAATCTCTCTAAAATGTTGTGATACCTGATCAACCAAATCAAAGATCAAAAGTAGGGGATATGGCTCAAGGATGTTAGTTAAAAAATTTTTTTAAATTGGGAAGCAACAAAATACTTATCAATAAAACATTTTTATAAATATACAATAATCCTCTATTAACCACGGGGCCTAAAGAGTGTTACAACTTAACTAGTGGAATTAGGAGGAAGACAAATTGTTTTTTTTTTTTTTTTGAGTCAAGCGTCTCACTCTTGTCGCCCAGGCTGGAGTGCACTGGCACGATGATCTCAGTTCACTGGGTTCAAGCAATTTTCCTGCCCCAGCTGCCTCTCGAGTAGCTGGGATTACAGGCGTGAGCCACTGCACTCAACAAGGAGGAAGAAAGTTTAAAATGGCTATATCTCAGTAAATAATATTTCTTACTATCTGCTTTTAAATAAAACCAGATTTACAGGTGTTAAAAAAAACTCCTTAATCATTTTCTTCAGTCTTTTGGGAAACTATTGCTAAGAAGTGATCTGATGAGCAAATTTTCTCACCAGTTTTATGTTAGTCTTCACTTCTTAAAATTCTTGAATCAGCTACATCCTTCTTAAAATTTAACCTATTTTTTATTGGAATTTTCCCATATTTTGCCTTGTTATGTTTTAAAAAAAAATGTGTGACTGTCCAACCAACATTTCTATAAATTACTTCAGAGCTGTTTTCTAGATGATTTTTGTAAATAAGGTAATAAGAGTAACCAGTGTGATGTTTTTAGATTTTTATTTTTAAACGAACATTTTTTTAAGCAGTAAGGTCTTGCTCTGTCACCCAGAATGGAGTGCAGTGGCATAACCACAGCTCACGGCAGCCTTGAACTCCTGGGCTGAAGTGATCCTCCCACCTCAGTCTTCTGAGGGGCTAGGACTATAGGTGCTCACCACCATACACCAACTAATTTATGTTTTTTGTAGAGACAAGGTCTTCCCATGTTGCCCAGGGTGGTCTCAAACTCCTGGCTTTAAGTGATCCTCCTGTCTCAGCCTCCCAAGTAGCTGAGATTATGGGTGCAAACTACCATGTCCATGTCTTTATATATAAAGATGCGAAGTTGTCCTTACATATTGGGACCACAGATTTAAACCTTTTGCTAAACAAACATATAAATGCCTTAATTTCAACACCAGTAAAACTACAGATGGCAAGAGATTATAGTATCTTAGAAGTCAAATGAAGAGATATTCTCAAAAACAAAAGGTGTTCCAGAGTAGTAAATGACACAAATATTTAAATAAGGAAGATACAGTTAAAAATACACTCTGTTGGCAATTAAAAGGTCATCTGGATCTTGGTCACATATCCTCTACACCCTTTCCCCTCGGATTATACTCCTTACTACCTTCGGATGCTAGTACAGTAACTCATCTATCTATCCATAAGGTATACAGTGTTTATCAACTATGTAGTCCCTGGTGACAAGCTCTTGTGGTGACGCCTGTAAGTACCATCAATAGAAGAGGTGGAGTAAGAGAACGCCCGAAAGTACTATCAGATAGAAAAGGTAGAGTAAGAGAATAGTGCAGGGATGGGCCTATCAGTGGAATACCTTAGTTTTTGCCCGCTTGGGTTTATATGAATACATGAAAATCTACTGCATTACTATTTTTCTAACAGGGATTAAATATACAGAGTATATATTGTGTATCACGTAGAAATATTTAATTTATAGGTATATTTATATTTATATCTATGCATGTCTGTTATATGTAAAGCTCTTTTAATTGCCCAGGAAAGCATAAACCAATAAAATGCTATCTTTTCATTCTTTGGCTGAACTTGTAGTTACTTACCTCTGCACTCTTCATAGCTTTAAGAATATTCCCCACCGTATCAGTAAAGGTGTTACCCAGTATTCTACCCAATTTCTTGTACAAGGAACCCAAACATACCACAGCAGCACTGAAACAACATTTAAATTTTCAGTTAGTCACAGCTGAAAAAATAGAAATTAAAAAAATTAGAATAAGGATAACTACTGAAAAATCTCCCCCATTCTCTTGGTTGTCTTTTCATTTTCTTTGTATTATCCTTTGAAACACAACATTTTTAATTGTAATGAAGTCTCATTTATTTTTTGTCAGTTGTGCTTTCTGGTGCTTTATCGAAGAAATGCAGCCTAAGCCAAGGCCACAAAGATTTACCCCCATGTTTTTTCTTATGAGTTTTATAGTTGTAGCAGTTACACCTACATCTATGATCAATTTTGAGTTTTTTCCATATGGTATGATAGAAGGCTCCAAATTCATTCTTTTGCATGTGGACATATAGTTATACTGGCATCATTTGTTGAAAAGTGACTATTTTAAATTTTACTTTGAAAGGATAAAATTTTCAAGAATCTATTCTGTGGTTAAATCCTAAGGCATGACACTTAACATGAATATGAAATAATTATACTTTCAATAATAAGGATGTGTCAATCTGTGATTACTCTACTACTCAGCCTAAAGATTCCACACCCTCAAATTTGTTACAAAACAAAATTTTGCAAGATATTTCAACAGAACTAATCTACATATATTAATCAAAAGATAAGCTTAAAGATAAAAATAAAAACAATATATAATGTTCTTATCAAGTTTGAAATCTGAAAACATTATGGGGGAATACGTTGTTATTGTTATAAGGTAAAAATTAGACCAAGAAAAACTATAGAATTATAACACGGTGGCCAGGCACATTGACTCACGCCTGTAATCCCAGCACTTTGGGAAGCCAAGGCAGGTGGATCACTTGAGGTTGGGAGTTTGAGACCAGCCTGGCCAACATGGTGAAACCCTGTATCTACTAAAAATACAAAAATTAGCTTGAAGTGGTGGCATGCAACTGTAGTCCCAGCTCCTCAGGAGGCTAAGATAGGAGAATCGTTTGAACCCAGGAGGCGGAGGTTGCAGCAAGCCAAGATCATGCCACTGCCATTCCAGCCTGGGCAACACAGTGAGATTCCATCTCAGAAGAAAAAAAGAAATACTACACGGCTCATTGCCTTTTAAAAAATAACAGGTAATAAAATGAACCAAATCCTACAGAGAAAGAAAGTAAGCTGTTCTTTCTAGGATCTTAGAAGAGTACTTTTCTACATGAAATTTATTAACAATTTTTATGATTAAGAATGAATAAATTGTAAAAACATCCAAAAAACGTGAAGAATTTAAAATATCTTTCTTAAATACTCAACTACTAAAATTTTAGGAAGATGTTTTGAATCTCAAATCTAGACTTCAAATATGTCTAAAGTATTTGTAGAAGAATTGTTTCTCAGCAATCAATATGTAAAGTGGTAGTTTCTTTAAGTTAGATTTTAAAAATGAGTAAAACTGAGTTTGCATTCAGTTGTTTTTTTTTTGAGACAGAGTTTCGCTGTTGTTACCCAGACTGGAGTGCAGTGGCACGGCTAACCGCAACCTCCGCCTCCTGGGTTCAAGCAATTCTCCTGCCTCAGCCTCCCGAGTAGCTGGGACTACAGGTGCCCACCACCATGCCCAGCTAATTTTTGAATTTTTAGCAGAGACGGGGTTTCACCTTGTTGACCAGGATTGTCTCGATCTCTTGACCTCATGATCCACCTGCCTCGGCCACCCAAAGTGCTGGGATTAGAGGCGTGAGCCACCGTGCCTGGCCTGCATTCAGTTTTAAAGAAACTGTCAAGTACTGTGGGTACTTCACAGAAATGATACAATAGGAAGTAATATTTTGTTTTCAGTTCTGTTTTAATGTTTCACTTACAGCTTAGTGGGAAGATAACTTGGAGAATCATCTTTGCTACGAATAAGATCATTACATTTATCGATTGTCTCGTAAACAGAGAATGTATCTCCAATACTATAAAGTATGGCTAGATTCTTAGCAAGGAGTTTGCGGGTAGGAGGCCCTGGGGAGCTATTCAACAAGGAGAGGAGCTGTTCAACAAGAGTCTTCTGTTTCTCCTTTACATCATTCTAGAAAAAAAGGTAACACAAAGAACAATTCAAAGTCAATATAATTATACATAATCTTTGAATATAATTTTTCTTTCATATATTTAAGAACTAAAAAGGCCCTTGAAAAATACAAATTTATTTTGACTAGAAGTTACAGATAAGTTGGCAGTGTGGTCATTATGACAGACTAACAGGTAGTTTGTTGCCCTGCTAATAACTCCAAAAATCCCTCTAAAAATTCTGAACCACATTACACTATAATCTCTGCTAACAAATATAAGGGCTCTATTAATTCTACATCTTTCTTCTTTCATTTGAAAGGCAGAGCAAATTTGTATTATTTTTAATAGAGACAAGGTGATATGGTTTGGCTCTGTATACCCACACAAATCTCATGTTGAATTGTAAATCCCATGTGTCAGGGGAAGGGCCTGCTAGGAGGTGAAAGGATCATGGGGGTGGATTTCCCCCATACTGTTCTTGTGACAGTGAGTGAGTTCTCACAAGATATGATGCTTTAAAAGTGTGTGACACTTCTCTTAAACCCTTACTGCCACCATCTGAAGAAGGTCCTCACTCTCCCTTCTCCTTCTTTCATGATTGTAAGTTTCCTGAGGCCTCCCAGTCACGCTTCCTATTAAGTTTGCATAACTGTACGTTAATTAAACCTCTTTTCTTCATAAATTACCCAGTCTCAGGTAGCGGTTTACAGTAGTGTGAGAACAGACTAATACACAAGGTTGCACTATATTCCCTGGGCTAGAGTGCAATAGCTATTCATAGGAGTGTTCATAGTACTGCACTCACTACACAGTCTCAAATTCCTGAACTCAAGCAATCCTCCTGTCTCAGCCTACCAAGTAACTGGGTCTACAAACATGCATTAGCATGCTCCAATTTGTATTTTCAACTACAGCATCTGAATTATTAAGCCTACATCTCCCCCATATATATCTGCATAAAGCAGTAACCTATAATCCATAACCAGAGCTAACCTTGTAATGGTTACCTGTTTTATTCAGATCCGTTCCCAAGTGTAATGCAATTTTCTTTTTTGCAAGCTTATGTATACAAATGCTAATAATGTTATTTCATTTTACTTGTCTGCTATCTGAATAAGGAGTACAGTATCATTACAAAGCTAATGGTACTCAGGTACTCACTGAGGCCTAAAATTCTACAATAAAATATTTGTCAGTATATAGAAATGTCTTTTGTTAATTTTTTTCCCCACATCTAAAAGTTGCTTTTTTTTCTTTCTCTCTTAAAGATCAGCAAACTTGTCAAATATTTGATAAGTAGAGTCACATAGCTCCCTGTTGTCTTAGAATAAGAATGTCTTTAGAAGGCTATTATTTTAAATTCAAATAAAATGTCTTTTGTTAAATTCTAAATGTCTCCATGAATAGTGTCTTTGTACCACTTCTGCATTGTATAAAGTACTGTGATTATGTAAAAAAAAGTTCATATTTGGCTGGGCACGGAGCACTTTGGGTGGCCGAGGTAGGTGGATCACGAGGTCAAGAGACCGAGACCATCCTGGTCAACAAGGTGAAACCCCGTCTCTACTAAAAATACAAAAATTAGCTGGGCATGGTGGACCTGTAGTCTCAGCTACTTGGGAGGCTGAGGCAGGAAAATTGCTTCAACCCAGGAGGGGGAGGTTGCAGTGAGCCGTGCCATTGCACTCCAGTCTGGGTAACAACAGCGAAACTCCGTCTCAAAAAAAAAAAAGTTCATTTTTAGGAGATGTATGCTAGCAGTAAAGTGCCACCTCAATGGCTTAGTAAATTAATCAACCAAACATGGGAAAATGTTATTAATTGCTGAATATGGATGAAGGGCATGAGTGATCAGTTTTCCTTTTTTCTACTCATGTCATAAGAGAGAATCTGTTTAACCACAGGCTCTTGAATTCATACACCTTAAGTCTTCATACCTTTTTAAGGTAAAACTCCCACTACATTGTTTAGCACCAGACTATACCAGGGCTTTATGTACATGGAGGAACACAGATGCAGAGGATAACAGAAACAAAGTATAATAAAAAGTAGTTGTTGTTTCATATATTTTAAAAGTAATGCCAAATATATTAGCTAATTTTTCTGCTTTTCTGTATAGCGAAAACTTCTTAAAATAGTAAAAATTCTTTTTTTTTTTTGAGACGGAGTTTCACTCTTGTTACCCAGGCTGGAGTGCAATGGTGCGATGTCGGCTCACCACAACCTCTGCCTCCTGGGTTCAAGCAATTCTCCTGCCTCAGCCTCCTGAGTAGCTGGGACTACAGGCATGCACCACCAAGCCCAGCTAATTTTTGTATTTTTGGTAGAGACGGGGTTGCACCATGTTGACCAGGATGGTCTTGATTTCTTGACCTCATGATCCATCCGCCTTGGCCTCCTAAAGTGCTGGGATTGTAGGCGTGAGCCACCGCGTCTGGCCCTTAATAGTAAAAATTCTGAATGAAGGAACAAAAAATGTACTATGTTTCATTAAATTTTAACAAAGTCTAACATTTAAAGCTAAATTAGGTTATTATGGAAAAAAGTAAAAAAGCAAACCAAAGGAAGTAAACATGGGCACTTAAACAAAAAAACAGATGTTGTCATTTTACCCACCCTGCTGGTTGCTAACAACAGCTTCTCCAAATAGCTCAACCACTCAAAAATAAACTCTGCCTTCTGAACTTCACCTAGTTGACTGTATGCTTCTTCATTCAGCAATAAGCTATGAGCTAATTCCATTCCTTGCAGTGATTCTCCTAGCTGGTCACAGTTCTTCTCATTAAACTTCGGTCAATATACCTAAGAATAAATACAGGAAAATAACATATTTTAAAAGGGGAGTAAAAAGGAAGGCAATCATAATATTGGAAATCTTCCACAGCAAAGTAAAAACATAATAAAATGTATATATTTTTTATAACTGCTCTAGGGTGAATCTGGGAAAATCCCAATAATGTTCTAGTTAATACTGACAACATCCACCTTTGTATTCTGTACTCATGCAGACAGGTAAAATAGAGGATCGTTATTGGCACTAGTATGCAAACTTGCTAAATGGAAGAGACATTCCACTAAAATTCTGAAAATTTTAAGATTAGCTAGACTATTGATTCCATATTAGGTTTTCTTTGTAGTTTTAAGTAACTTACTAAAATGGGTAATAGGTACACATTAACAAATGACACCAAATATCCAGACCTTCTACTAGAATGCTAAAGCTTGCCATCTCTCTGGGCCTTTGCTTAGCTGGGTACACGCCCTGGTATTTACCTGGAGATACAAGAGGGACTTAAGTCCATTAGCATCTGGTCCCCCAGCCTAATAAAGGAACTGCTTGTAGTTTCAGGCTAGGAGTTTAGGAGAGTCCAATCTCAACTAGGCTTATCTGTGAAAGTCTTGTGAAAGCAAACTTTCCAAAATGGGTATTGTCCAGGAATTATAGCAATAAAGATCATAGCTGCTCTGACCTACATTCAATGTAGCCTTAATTTTGCTGTAGCAAACAATCAACAAAAGACACAGAGTTTTAAAAATTGTCTACTCATCAGCATCTCCTGGGTACACCTTAGTGCTGTTGCAGAGCACATGCAGCATATAAACGTATGTATGTACATATATATTCATATTTACATACGAATTTATAAGATGGCATTCTGACTACTAGACAGAATTTTTTATTTTTAGGAGGTACATGCTTTATTGCAACTTTATTGCAAAGTTAAAGGAGGTACATTTTCAAATGGTTAAGTACATCACTAACTCAACCATAAAATATGGCAAAATGTTAAACCAAATATAGGTAGTGGGTACATAAGTGATCATTTCACTACTTTTCATTTTTCTGCATTTTAAAAAGCACAATAAAAAGTAGAAAAAAATTATTTAAGAAAATAAATAAAACACAAATTGACTATTAAAAAATACTACTACTTACAGGAGTAGCAGTTATCAGGAACATTAAAGAATATAGAAGGTACCATATACATACACAAAAGATGAGTATTCCAATTCACTAATGTCCCTAAATAGAAACAAGTTAATTGGAATTTTATAGGAATATAGATAAAATGCTATTGCTAATTTAACTAAAATATTTAAAATACATATCTCACATTTCCCTAAACACATCTCATGCTTTTACAGAGAAGCCTGTAACCAAAGAGAAATCTATTAGAAAATTAGATGACAGATCAGGCACTGTGGCTCACACCTGTAATCCCAGCACTTTGGGAGGCCGGGGCGGGTGGATCACAAGGTCAAGAGATCGAGACCATCCTGGTCAACATGGTAAAACCCCATCTCTAGTAAAAAATACAAAAAATTAGCTGGGCATGGTGGCGTGTGCCTGTAATCCCAGCTACTCAGGAGACTGAGGCAGGAGAATTGCCTGAACCCAGGAGGCGGAGGTTGTAGTGAGCCGAGATCGCGCCATTGCACTCCAGCGTGGGTAACAAAAGCAAAACTCCGTCTCAAAAAAAAAAATACAAAATACCATGCTACTAAAAATACCATGCTGGGTGTGGTAGCATGCGCGTGTGATCCCAGCTACTCAGGAGGCTGAGGCCAAAGAATCGCTTGAACCCAGGAGGTAGAGGTTGCAGTGAGCCGAGATTGCGCCATTGTACTCCAGCCTGGCAACAGCAAGACTCCGTCTCAAAGGAAAAAAAAACAAAGAAAATTAGATGACAGACATGGGAAAGGCTTTTCTTTTTTTCAGGTTGTTCTCAAGGGTTTATGTGTTTAAAATTACTTAAGAGTATCAGGTCATCATAATTATAATATAACTGAAAAGGGTCTCTTTAAAATACAGTAGTCACAAACTGGTTCCCAGTTGGTCAAGACTGCCTGCAATGTATTAGGACTAACATTTAAACATAAGAAGACTGCACATTAAAATATGGGTCCAGGGCCAGGCACAGTGGCTCACACCTGTAATCCCAGCACTTCAGGGGGCGGAGGTTAGGAGGATCACTTGAGTCCAGGAGTTTGAGACCAGCCTGGACAACACAGAGAGACCGTGTCTTGACAAAAAGTCAAAAAATAAACTAGGCGTGGTGGTACGTGCCGGTAGTCCTAGCTACCTGTGAAACTAAGGTAGGAGGATCACCTGAGCCAGGGGGTTAAGGCTTCAGTGAGCCATGACCACACCACTGCATTCCAGTCTGGTGCAGAGTGAGACCCTGTCTCAAAATTTAAAAAAAGAAAAAAATCTGTATCCAGTGCCATGTGCAGTGGCTCATTCCTGTAGTCCCAGTACTTTGAGAGGCCCAGGCAGGAGAATTGCTGAGACCAGGAATTTGAGACCAGTCTAGGTAACATGGTGGGAAACTGTCTCCACCAAAAGAAAGGAAAGAAAGGGAAGAAAGGGAGAAAAGACAGAAGGAGAGAGAGAGAGAGAAAGAAAAAGGAAAAAAGAGAAAGGAAGGAAGGAAGGAAGGAAAAGGAAAGAGAGAAAAAGAAAATCTTAGGTCATTTTAAAAAATGTCACTTTTACAGAACAAAGAATATGAACAATGTGGCCAGGTGTGGTGACTCACACCTGTAATCCCAGCACTTGGGAGGCCAAGGTAGGCAGGTATTCAAGACCAGCCTAGGCAATCATGCAAAACCCTGTCTCTACAAAAAATACAAAAATTAGCCAAGTATGCTGGTGTGCACCTGTGGTCCCAGCTACATGGGAGGCTGAGGCAGGAGAACCACTTGAGCCTGGAAGGCAGAGGTTGCAGGGAGCCAAGATCATGCCACTGCATTCCAGCCTGGGAGACAGAGTGAGGCCCTCTCTCGGGAAATTAAAAAAAAAAAAAAAAAAGAACTATAAACAATGCTGGTAAACATTCATTTTTACTGAAGCAACAAAAATTCTAGCTTGTTTTAAAAAACACTCCTTTCCTTTCTTAAATTATGAAAATGACCTAGACAAAATATTCACAATTAAAGATAAAGTTAATAACTGCTACGGAAATAATTTCTGGAAGAAACCTACCAAGTACAAGTTTGCACTTAGTATCTATGATTTTGGTGGAGGGAGGAATAACCATAGTATCACAGAGAAAATTTCTTATTAAAACCGGGGCAAGTCAAAAACCTGTCTTTAGAATCAAATTACCCTTTCTAGAAGTCATTTGGACTGTTGAAGAGACATTTTTCCCCCCTCAGGCAGCAGCAATATTGTGGTGTAAAATGATCTACCAAGAAGCAAAATAGCTAACACAATGTGATAATAAATAATTCAGTAAAAAGCTTGAGATCATAAGCAGGGCAAAAAGTCATCTCTAATGCCCTCAATACATTCCTTACGTAAAATTACTCCTAAAGGAAGTAGACAATTCATACTGGTAATCTCACATCTAAACTCACGAGCCTAAAATGCACCTGAGAGCTCCACATATGTACTACCAATGTGATAAGCAAGGACATTTTGCAAACAGACACTCCCACTCTTACCTGAAGTCTCACCTCAGGAAGATGGATAGAAATTCAATGTTATCTGTTCTATGTTTTAATATAATCGCAACCGTACATATACCTGAGGAATGCTTATTTTTCTAATTTTTCTCTTAGTTTCCCTTATGTTTCTGCTGACATTATAAGGTGATTTGTTTACTGCAAGTGAACATATATGTCAATATATTTAAATATATTTTTCAAAATATAGTTAATTGCTACTTGATAAAACGAGGTCATAAAACTGCTGCTCCAAATGTAATGCCAGCTATATTTAACAGAAGCAGCTAATATTTACTGACTACTTATTAAGAGTTTAAGCAGTACTCTAAGTGTTTTACATTATTTTCTTGAATAATCTGCCAAACGTCCATGAAGCAGCTATTTTTTATTAGCCCTATTTTATAGATGAGAACATTGAAGCGCAGAGAAGCTAAGTAACTTTCCTAAGGTCACACAGAACCTGGGTGTGCACTTAAACAATCTGACTTTAGATATATGTGTTTTAACCACAACATACTATGCTGCCACCCTTTCATGTAATCAAGCCCCTCAAAAATGTAAGAAGTTAGGCCAGGCACGGTGGCTCACGCCCATAATCCCAGCACTTTGGGAGGCCAAGATGGGTGGGTCACCCATCTCGGCCATGAGTTCATGAGTTCAAGACCAGCCTGGCCAACATGGTGAAACCCCATCTCTACTAAAAATACAAAAAATTAGCCAGGCCTAGTGGTATGTGCCTGTATTCCCAGCTACTCAGGAGGCTGGGGTGTGGAACCCAGAAGGCAGAGGTTGCAGTGAGCCGAGATCTCCCCAGTGCACTCCAGCCTGGGTGACAAGAGTGAACCTCTGTCTCCAAAAAAAAGAGAAGTGGGGCTGGACATAGCGGCTCATACTTATAATCCTAGCACTTCAGTAGGACAAAGTGGAAGGGTTGCTTGAGCCCATGAGTTCAATACCAGCCTGGGCAACAGAGTGAGACCCCCATCTCTAAAAAAATAAAAATAAAAAAAATTAGCTAGGCATGGTGGTACACACCTGCAGTTTCAGCTACTCACGTGGCTGAGGTAGGAAGATCACTTGAGCCCAGAAGATTGAAGCTACAGTGAGCCATGATCAAAAAACAAAAAAACCCAAAGCCACTCATTTTTTAAAAACTCTCTCGCTGGAGTTTACAGACCTACTTTGGTAGAGATAGAAACATGTTGTACATAATTTGTGGATATATGGAACTCAAACAGTATAATCAGGCTCCTTGGTAATAAATTTGGGAATCTTGCATTAAGACAAAGTTAGGAATTTTTACCTACAAGATTTCTCAGGGTATTTAATTAAGTTAATGTATATTATGCCTCTCCATGAATGTAATATAGCATTAAGTATTAGTCAAAATGCTGTTAGCACCTAGCAACTTCTAGACTTAAGCAAATTGTTCCAAGGAGAAATATTAATATGTACTGTTATGATCACTTATTCTCTCTCTCTATATATATTTTGTTTTTGTTTTTTGAGTTGGAATTTCACTCTTATTCTCCAGGCTGGAGTGCAATGGTGCGATCTCAGCTCACTGCAACCGCCACCTTCTGGGTTTAAGCAATTTTCCTGTCTCAGCCTCCCGAGTAGCTGGGATTACAGGCATGTGCAACCGAGTGCAACTAATTTTGGATTTTCAGTAGAGATTGGGTTTCAACATGTTGGTCAAGCTGGTCTCAAACTCCTGACCTCATGATCCACCCGTCTCGGCCTCTCAAAGTGCTGGAATTACAGGCATGAGCCACCACGCCCGGCCCTATTAATATATTTTTAAAAGGTACACAAGAATGTTAATTCCATTACTTTACAGCCAAACATTTTATATGCTTACGCTAAAGCCAATAACTGAACTAAGTTATAAAGGTACTTAAATGCTTTTAGACTAGATATTTCTCTGGGCACTATTTGCTTCTTTCAAAACTGTCTGTACTTTATATACGATAGATATTCCTAGTTACTCCGTCACTACTTTCATCCAACAGGTTTTTATATTGAGAAAAGAAGGCACTGTGAACTAGATCTAAAGTACCAAGGTAACATCCAAATTATGCTTTTCAAACTGGGATAATTCCAGCAGTGCGCCAACAGATTATGATGCATATTACTATGTTAGAGGTCAAATTTAGACTAGATGGTCAAATTTTACTTAAAGTTTTCCCTAGGCATTAATTTTTAACATTATGTTATATTAAAACACAGATTTAATGCATAACAGCAAAATTAATAAAACACTTCAAGATAAAATGTGAGACTTCAAGAAATCCTGAGAATGACAATGCATTTCTAGACATCCTTTAACAAAAATCACTCCCTTCTGCTGATAATAACTAGTTTAATGGAAAATTTTAAGAACCACTAAGCTATGAGTAAGTTAAACTATATGAAACTGCCATTTTTATAGGTCAAAAAAGGCTGGCTTGACAATTTATGCGATTCAACTTAAGTACCAGTCTTCAAATATCAGACACAGCGCATGTCTGTACTAATGTTTGCACTTTGCATAGTATTCTTTTCTTTCAAATGGCTCTGTATTAAGCCTAGTGACTTTATTAGCCTAGAGTAACAACTATGTATATTATTGACTACTGACAGAAAAAAGAACCAGCAGGTCACCAATATTCCAGGGTCAGAGTTTTCTTTTCTGAAGTAACTTACTCCAAAATCATCTCTAAGAGCAGTTAACAACTGTATTATCAGGCCAGGTATGGTGCTCACGCCTGTAATCCCAGCACTTTGGGAAGCCAGATCACTTGAACCCAGGAGTTCAAGACCAACCTGGACAACATAGCAAAACCCTGTGTCCACAAAATATACAAAAGTTAGTTGGGTGTGGTGGTGTATACCTGCAGTCCCAGCTGTTCGTGAGGCTGAGGTTGGAGGATCCCTTGAGACCGGGAGGCAGAGGTTGCAGTGGGCCAAGATCACAGATCACCACTGCACTCCACCTTGGCAAGACTGTCTCAAAACAAACAAAACTAACTGTATTATCAACAAGGGTTGGTTTTAATTCAACTGAAAATGAGTTAACTTCAGTTTTATTTAGGCAAGGTAGTGTAAGCACCTCCAACAATGTCAACAAACAAACATACAGGCTGCTGATTATTCCAGTCCTGATAGAAAGTGTTAATATAATTTTCTCTCTCTAGAGTTTACAGATCTATTTTGGTAGAGATGGAAACATACGTTGAAATTTATTGGAAGGAAAAAGTATTCATAATCTTCTCGGCCATTTTAGTTTCTTAAAATGATTATATCATTTCAAGGAGGGAAAAGGAAAAAATCACAATAATCAAAGAGGACATTGGACACAAGATAAGACAGGCTTATTGGATTGGTTTGTTAGTGTTTTCCTTCTGGATCATGAAAATAATTCACAAAACGACAAAGTCACTAAACAGTAAATGAAACTAATTCCAGAAGGTATGAAGTGCCTGAAGTATTGAGACATGTCTCATACTTAAATTTCAATTACTTTTCTTTGACTTTTACTTCTCTAAAAGACACCATAACAGCTTCAACTCACTCTATTGTCTTAGTTCCTCAGTTCTGAACAAAAAGCATAAAGTAAACAAAAAACCAAACTCTCAAGAACTCCCATACTTCAAGAAATATAGATATATCCTAAAATCCAAATCTTTCCCCAAAATATAGTAATTACCTTTCATCTAGAAGGAAGCTAGATTATTCTACCCTGACCTCATATTTTCATTTGTGATTTAGCCTTTGCAAAATTATACATTACAAAAATAGGAACTCACAAGTTATACAGAGCATTAGGTCATACTTGAGATATTGCTTAAAGAAGGCTGCCCTGGTATAAAGAAGATGAAGTCCTTTGTTACAGTACTTTACATATCTCTAGGCAGGATCCTAAAGCTGGTTTGCTGACACTTAACTTGTATACTTTACTAATTTTAGGGTAAATAGATAAGAAGCAAGTCATTTATAATGTTAGAGTTATTTAACACAGTTATAACTTGGTAATATAAAATCTTGTCTGTAACAATTCCATCTTTGAATCTAAAATATCTTGCTTCCTTCTTTCTAACATATTTTAAAATTTGGCTAAAAAAAAAAATCACCTCCCTGAGAAAACAGAAAAATCTTTTGACAATGAAATTCAAACCTACTGTATTATTGTGTATGAACTTAACGTTAGTCTTTCGAATTCTCTATAACAACTCTACAAGTAAATTGGCTATCAGTTAAAAATTTGAAATGTTAACAATATAATGATTTAAGCTCAATAGGAAATAATTTAGCTGAATGGTTCAAAACTGTATATTAAATCTAAATATAA